ATCAACAGCAGTACACAGGAACAAAAAGCGCGCAAAACATCACCACAAGCATCCTCACCACTATGGCCTGCACAGCCTTTGTGGTGATGAATTTTTCTGAAAGAGGTTGCTGGGTCTTGATGTTCCTCTTTGATTGATGGTTTGAAAGACAAAACTTCACCCATACTCCCAGTAGGCATGGCTTGAACAATTGCTGAGGAGGTGCAGATAAACAAAATTGTTCCAATGAGGCTGAGAGCATTCATGGTGTTTGGCCTGGAATTCATATTCAAGTTAGTCAAGATATAGGTATTTGAAGGAGGAATTTCAAGGAGCTATAAAAGTGTTCCAAGGACAAGTAACGTACAATGAGTAAGCCGGGTGTGTCTTAGGTATTTGGGTGGTATTTGAAAAAAGAGCAAGTTTATCCAAATGAATCTAACAGCAGAGTAAGATCAAAATGTATATTCCAATCAGTCATTGAAATCAAGTGAGATACTGCGGTGATAAGAAGATGAGCAAACCACTAGTTTCCGAGGTGCAGGAAGCAGTCAAAGAATTTTTGGATGAGAAGTAAATGACAAGTTAATCATTATTCTTTTATATCCATCAGACCCATCTGATAAATTTCTCCGCCTTGACATATGTATTGGAAACGTCACAGATAAGATTCTTTACAGACAAGCCCCACTGTGTAGCATTTTGAAGCTTATGAGGGGAACCTGTGTGGGGACCCTCTGCAGGGAATGTGTGCCTGGGGCTGAACTCATCAAGTTTGAAGTCAAACAAAGTTTTTGAATTATCAATTGTTAGGGAACATTGGGGGTTAGGAGTTGTCATCTTGATTTCCTGCAAAGACATTTTGACAAGGGTTGCCACTCAGGGTGTATCTCAAAGACTAGATTTTTTTGCTGAGACTCATTTAGCTGAAAAGATAGACAATACCAGCTGGGTGTGACTAAAAAAGTGGGGTGGATGACTGGTGTATCCTTGGTTTGAGGCTGCTTCAGCTGAATCTGTGTTTGATGCAATTGGAAGGATTTTACAGAGATGGTGACATGCAGCTGCCATATACAAAGTAACAATATTCAGACAAGATTGACAAATCTTGTTCCTGCCAAAAAATCTGAGACACAGCTTCACAGTGCGGGTATTAGAGCCAATCAGAAGATATATGATATGTACGATAGAAATATAAATCTTTGATTGAAACACAGTGGGGCTATGTGTGTAGTTGAATCTTCATTCATTCAAGTTATGTGCTATTGTGACTCAGATCCCTGATGTCTCATATATTGAAATGTAACAGAATCTTTGCCCCGTTGTTACTCATTACAACAGACTAGCCAAGTTGGGCGGCGGGCGCCGCACTCCCTTTTGCCCATTGGTGCTCTCACTTCTGACTGTCATCTCAGCCCTCCCTTTCAATTCTTATTGACAACAGAGTAATTGCAACACGACACAGCTTATGACACGCGCATCATACTCTAATTACACTTCTGAAAAACCTCAGCATGGGCAAATATCATTTTTATGGGCTAATAACTCATTTATTACAATTTAACTTTATGTTACTCAAGCTTTTGCATTAACAACAATCAAAGGCACCCAATTAAAAATGACGCTTGCCAAGGTAAAGCTTCCTCGCATCACTTTTGTAAACATAGTTTCCCGCGCGACAAAATCATCTCAAATGTAGGCTTTCTTTTATCTCAGCTAAATTTACAAATTCTCGGCATTGAGTAACTGTTCAAACAAAGCAGGTGCAACTCACGTTTGGTTAGCTTTGTTTTATACTCATGTCTCAAGTAGTAAGAAGTGTAATGAACAGGTAGGATCTCTCTTTCTTTAGGATAAAACTTATATTTTAATTTCTTTAACAATAATATTTTATGTAAGTAAAAACGTAACAAACAACTTTGATAAAAAAGATAAGAGAGAAATTGTAGTACCTTTAACAATAACTACACTTATGAGATTCAACTTTGTAACACGAATTTTAAATCGAACAATGTAATCAAAAAAGCGAAAGTCTACATTTTGAGGAATCAATTTAAAATTAGATAAAGAAGAAATCAGACATCATAAATAGAACCAAGCTATACCTCCTTTCCTTTCGATAAAAGCTTGAGTTCGATTTAGATTCAGCTTTATAGTTGAATAGATTTGTCGTGTAGTATTGAGTGTTTTAGAACGAAACGAGGAAGTGACAATTTTCTTGACGATCAAAGGAAAACGATAAAAAGAGAAAACGATGAGAAGATTTTGAATAGTTTTTTATCGAAGTTCTTTTGGGCAAGGACTCGAGGGTTTTTGTGAGCGAAACATATCCAGTGACGTCATACATGTTTGTCAGCAAAGCGTACAACACAGATCAGCACACACAACGGAACAACGGAATCAGGGCAACACAGCATAACAGCAGAGCAAACGGAATCAGGGCAACACAGCAGCAAAACAGGTCAGTGATTTATTACCGATCATAACACTCCCCCTAAATCACAACGCGCCATCTTGAGCTGTTTCATAGCTGATTGATGTTTCACGCTTCCTAACGGTTTAGTCAAAACATCAGCTATCATATCTTCTGAGGCCACTTGACGTATCGACATTAAGTTCTTCATTATTAGGTCTCTGAGATATTGATACCGAACTTCAATATGTTTAGAGTTGGGATTTAATTGAGCTTCTTGGCTAATAGTCACTGCACCGGTGTTGTCGTTGATCAGTAATGGAGGTTTGGAGATTTTTAAATTTAAACTTGTCATTAAGATCGACATCCAGCGCAATTGCTTGGCACATTTATTAGACGATATGTACTCAGCTTCAGTAGTAGATTGAGCAACTACAGATTGTTTCTTTGTCGTCCAGCAGATCGGATTGTTGTATAAGGTCAAAGTGAATCCGGAAGTTGACTTTTTGGTGACAAAAGACGTGGCGTAATCGGCATCGGCCCATCCGCATAGTTCTGGTTCGAGACTGGTGGATTGAGTGTACAATAACCCTAAAGAGACGGTGCCTTTCAAATATCTGAACAAATGACAGATAGCCGACCAATGAAAGGTATTCGGGTTAGTCGCGAATTGAGTGAGGAGGTTGACAGTGAATGTGAGATCAGGCCGGGTGTGAAGAGCCAAGTGATTAAACATTCCTAGAGCTTGTTGACAAAGTAAGACTTTCACGGGATCGCCTTGACTGGCGACTAGAGCGTGTAGATTCATCGGAGCGGGAGTTTTGATGGGGTTGCATTCAGACATATCGAAGCGCTCAAGTGTCTTCTTTGCGAAATCAGTTTGGTGAAGTAGAATGGATCCATCAGTTTTCCAGTCGAGGCTGTAACCTAGATGCTGAGTTGGACGTTCTTTGATTTTCATGGTGAAGGCTTTCTTTAAGTCTTTAAAGAGATTCATAATCGAGTCTTTGTTCTTGCTTACAACGAATCCGTCATCAACATGGATGTGAAGAAAGATTGATTTGTCTTCGTTGACAAACAGAGATTCGTCGCCTTGAGAGGAGTACATACCTGCGGTCAGCAGTACCTCGACCAATTTTGCTTTCCATCGACGGGGAGCTTGTTTTGTGCCGTATAGCGATTTATACAACAGCCAGACAAAGTCTTCCATCCCGATTTCTTCAAATCCACTGACTTGCGAAACATAAATCGGAGCGTCAATGAGGCCTTCAAGAAAGGCGGTCTCAATGTCGAATTGATAAGCGTAGAGTTTGTTTTGGACAACGAGCACAAGGAGAAGTTTGAAAGACTCATTTCGAGCAACGGAAGCATAAGTCCTGAAGTAATGTATGCCTTCTTCTTGATCGTTTCCCAGACATACCCAGCGAGCTTTGAACCGAGAAGTTTCACCAAATTCATTTAATTTCTTTTTTAACCTCCACATACCTCCTATTACTTTATCGTGAAGAGGGCGTGGTACCAGGGTTCCAGTTTCCTTTGAAATCAAGGAGTTGAATTCGCTCTGCATAGCTTCTTTCCACTTAGGCGCTTCATCAGGATTGGTGAGTGCTTCCCTTAGACTTACATCAATCGCAAGATTCAGTTCAAGTTCTTCTTCGGCTTCACTGACGGCACTAGTCTTCTTCCGACGAGTTGATTTGAGAATGTTGGATGGATCAACTTTAGATGAAATGTCTTTAGGAGCTTTGTCGGAATAGGGAATAGTCGTGTAGTGAGACTTCTTAGGAGCAGGCGGTGCGGGTCTAGGAGCCGGAGGAGGCGTTTGTGGAAGAGGAGGCGTTTGCGGAAGAGGAGGCGTTTGTGGAAGAAGAGGAAGATCCGAAGGTATTGCCGGGGTACCTTGAGTGGTCGAGGTAGCGGTGATTTTCTTCGGAGTTTTCAAGTGAATAACTGTGTTTTCTGACTTGTAAGTCGTTTTTCGAAGAGGAAGAGTCTCGATGGGTTTCTTCAAGATTGATTCTGACTTGTAGGGGAAATTCAATGGAGATGATGAATAGTCTCTACTTATGATGATATGTCGATTTCTTAGATTGAGAAATCTTCCGGCATCGGAGAAGGGTTCGTAACCGAGAAACAACATAGGGTTGGATGGTGGGAGAATTTTGGATTCTTGCTGTTGACGAACAAACACCTTCAGTCCGAAAGGGATGAGTTTTGTAAGCTTTCGAAGTGGTTCAATGCTTAGGTTTAAGTCATTCAGTACACTGACCGGTGAAATCCAATTAAGTGGTTTAGAAGGCAGTATGTTGATAAGTTGAGAGGCATATCTAGCGGCTTCATCCCAAAAGTTCATCGGGACTGAACATTGCGCTAGAATGCACCGCATCTTGACAAGTAAAGTTTGATTGAATCTTTCGGACAGACCATTCGTTTCAGGAGAATTTGCTGGGCCTTGTTCAATGGAGATTCCGAGTTTAGCAAATTCGTTTACTAAATAGGTGGAAGTGAATTCACCGCCTCTATCTGAGTGAAAATAAGAGGGATTCGATCCAGTCTTCGATTTGATTTCAGCGATGTATTGGAGAATTCGGTTTGGAGCCTCCGATTTTTTCTTTAGCAGATAGATTCTATTGAATCTTGAGAAATCGTCGATAAGTACCAGAACGTACTTTATACCTTGTCCGGTTACTGGAGTGATCTGTAGTAAGTCGGAGTGAATTTTTTCGAAAGGCTTAGATGCACTAAGGATAGGATTTGAGTGAGGTGAATTCTTCAATTTACATCGCAAGCAGATGAGACATCCTGAACTATTTTCGACGGCTGATGATTTGATTTCATTAATCTCCAGGAATTTCTTGAGATAGACGTCTGAGGGATGTCCGAGAATGATATGCCAGTCTTTTGGCTCTGAGAGATTAATTTCTTGAATTGAATTGACTGAAGAAGTGTTCTTGGACTCCTACAAATCACCATCACGAAAGAAACGAAATATGGTTTTGTCACCTAATCTTACTTGTACTTTTCGATGAGAATGAATTATATTCATTCCATGGTCCTCAAGTTGAGTAGTTGAGATCAGATTTCTTGGACCGTTTTCAGAGTAGTACACCGGATAAATGATGGTGCCTCCAAAATTGAGTTTGCCGACATGAGAAATGGCGACTGATCCTCCATAAGTATTCATGGATTTCGAGATTGGTTTGGGATCAATTAATAGATCAAGGTTGTTGATGGTGGATTTGGTAGCTCCGGAGTCATAAACAAGTTGAAATTTTTCGGCACCGAGGTAATTGACAGAATCGGTGATCATGAAACCACTGTCGTCAATGTTGTTTTCTTGACGATGTTGAATATGGTCTACTCGTTCGTCTTCAGATTCAGAGGATTGTTGAATGTGATGAGCTTCCGAAGATTTATGTTGAGAGAGATGTTGGGCGACTAAACGGGCAACTTTTTCATCGATGGACTCAAAGTTTTTAACCCAAGGTTTTTTGGTAGTGATGATGCTTTTAGGATTGAAAGAGGAAGAAGAAGGATTAGGCTGAAATGAAGATGAGTTGGGCTTTTCGTTTCTTTTTCCTTTGACCTTTGAAAAGTTAACAACTTCGGTTTCTTGCGATTCCCGACGGTTATGCTCCATGATAAGCTTATCGTAGCAGGATTCGAAACTGAATGGACTAAGGTCCCAGCAATTTTGAATTAAAGGTGTTAATCCTTCGTCATCATTAAAACTGAGTAAGAAGAAAATAGCGGCAAGTTCAGTGGAAATGGTTAAAACAGTAGGTTTGGTGGCGGCCAATGAAGCTGAAAGCGAAGTGTAAGTTCCGGAGATTTGGTCGCAATGTTCCTGAATGGAACTCCCAGGAATGTATCGAAGAGACATCCAGTGTTGTACCTTCATTCCAATCATAAGAATTGAAGAGACACCACAGGATTTAGCGAGAGCGGTGTAGGCGTCATGGAAGCTTTTGCTATTTTTCAATAGTATAGCTCGAAGTTCGGAAGATACAGTTTCGAAGAGCTTGTTAATAGCCCAGGCGTTTTTGCGTTTGAAAGCGGGTTTGTTGATGTTGGCGGCAACCCATTTCTCGTCCAGTAAATCGTCGTATCCTTTACTGACGAGGATGTTATCGAAACGTATTTGCCATTCATGCCAATTTTTTCGAGTCAATTTGATGATTTTGACTTTGGTTGAAGAATGATTATCTGAATCAGAGGAGGAATCATTTTCGTTTTCGTCTTTTCCGGTGGCCTTGGTCGAAAAAGTAGGTTGAGACATCTCAAACGAGTCGTTCTAAAAACTACGAATGTAAAAAGAAATAATATAGTTTTTCCAAGAGGAGTCTCTCGCTACCATGTAATGAACAGGTAGGATCTCTCTTTCTTTAGGATAAAACTTATATTTTAATTTCTTTAACAGTAATATTTTATGTAAGTAAAAACGTAACAAACAACTTTGATAAAAAAGATAAGAGAGAAATTGTAGTACCTTTAACAGTAACTACACTTATGAGATTCAACTTTGTAACACGAATTTTAAATCGAACAATGTAATCAAAAAAGCGAAAGTCTACATTTTGAGGAATCAATTTAAAATTAGATAAAGAAGAAATCAGACATCATAAATAGAACCAAGCTATACCTCCTTTCCTTTCGATAAAAGCTTGAGTTCGATTTAGATTCAGCTTTATAGTTGAATAGATTTGTCGTGTAGTATTGAGTGTTTTAGAACGAAACGAGGAAGTGACAATTTTCTTGACGATCAAAGGAAAACGATAAAAAGAGAAAACGATGAGAAGATTTTGAATAGTTTTTTATCGAAGTTCTTTTGGGCAAGGACTCGAGGGTTTTTGTGAGCGAAACATATCCAGTGACGTCATACATGTTTGTCAGCAAAGCGTACAACACAGATCAGCACACACAACGGAACAACGGAATCAGGGCAACACAGCATAACAGCAGAGCAAACGGAATCAGGGCAACACAGCAGCAAAACAGGTCAGTGATTTATTACCGATCATAACAAGAAGACCCACCAATACTTCGGAGTAACTTAATCTAGGCATGAAATGGCATTTTACCCCGTGAGCTCCAAACAACCTTACTAAAACCTCATCCCTCACTACCATTGCCCCCTCAAAGGTGAAAACTAAGTGCTTCAAGGTTGGAGGTAAGGGCAGTAATGCAGCTTTTTCCAGCTCTCTTCGCCGATAATCGCTGGTCGCAACATGAGGGGTAATCATAATTTCTACTGAATCAAAGAAGCTCCATTCGGCCCAATCAGGTGTTGTTCGTCTCGAATTGATGCAGGTGGTTCTCAAAATCTTGAGTTTCGGGAAACGTGTCATACATAGGTCTAGAGGGATAAAGTTTGGCAGTACATCGATAAACAATGCCTCCAGATGATCTTGCAGCCCCAGGATCATGGTTTGCGAGTCGTCACAAAAAATATCTGGGATGAATTCTAGGAACTTGATGCGTCTCCCTTCTGCCTGACAGAATTTGTTGATGGCCGCATTGTTCATAGCATCACATCTAACCGATAGATGCATCAACTTAGGCATCGCAATCGTCCCGACATCCAACGACTCTAGAGTAGAAAACTTGAGCAATAAAGACTCTAATTCGTAAGTGCCGTTCAATACGTTCGCTAGAGATTTTGAATCATTCGTGAGATTGTGGTTCGCGTTGCCTTGGATAAATAGACTTTTTAAACTTTCAATCTGATCAATCGCACTGATTAGTTTGTCAGAAAATCCAACAGCATCGGTAAATGTTATGCTGAGTTCGATCAGTTTTCTGCCGCATAACCTGATAATATCAGCAGCATCTTGCATAAAAATAGACTTTGATGAGTAATGTTGATGCTCTAATTCGAGGATTCGAAGTTTAGGATCTCTAATTGATTCATAGAAAGGACCGTAGGTGGATTTGGGTTGGAACATAACGTTGTTCAATGATAGCCGAGTTAAACAGAAGAAATCTGATTTGATAAGGCAGGTACTCCACATCGTGACGATGTACTTATGTACCCAAGGCTGCTCCAAGTGTAAGGAATCGTTGACTGTGCGCGAAACACTGTTCGACCACGAGTGCCCAACTAATCGTAATCTTAGCAAGTCTACAACTGAAGTATGATTCAAGAAAGGTTTCGAAGCACTATTAACGCCGTCATTTGGCGTATAGTTTGCATCTTCGCAGAAATACTTTATGATTTTGTCTACTATCTCAATTGGGAGAGGTGGTGATGGAGTCATAGCTATGAATTTTGTGTAGTTACGACAAAGAGAATTTGAATTGGCTCCCTCTTTTTACGAGAGACTATTGCAGGCGTTAAAATATTGTATGCTGTGTTGGCTAATTTTGATTTTTCCTTCGCTTGTTCACCACGTCAGACTTACCGATCTTCAAACAACAGAGTTGTTCCTTAGCCAAGCAGCATTGTCAATCTACTTGTCTCGTTTGGGTTCACCTTGAGTTTTTTCGTGATAAATATTTTTTTGATGTGAAATCTCACCGCTCACTCGAGTTCATTAGTTGGTCTGTATAGTTACGGACCACCTATGGTATTCTTTTTGCTCACGTGAATCCCAACTTTTACCGCAAGTACTTACGTGTATTCACAATATATCTGTCAGGATTCAGCCGATTTGTGATTGACTCGCAATCACGTAGTGAATCTGCACAATAGCGTTATAAGCCGCGTGGACGTAACTCGCTTATACGGAGGTGGAATTCAATCTGGCGAATTTCATCTACTCACATGCTACCACTCGTCCCACTGATTTCACTGCTGCTCGGAACTCAATGTTGAACTCTCAGCCACTCTCAATAGTTCTTGATGATTTTGGGTGGAGGTTGAATACACGTTAGACATATGTTTCACCTTAAATTTACTGCAGGGATCTCAGCCTTGATAATGAGGGTGATGAACAATTTACGAAACATGATAATGTAAACATATTACAACAATGATTTCTATCAAGTTATCCCAACCAACATATATGCACAAATAGAGTTGAAGGAATTTTGCTAACTAATCGCATTAGTTCTGCTTTTGATTAGACTCTCAAGTTTTGACGGTCTCTACACGAGAACATCCACATAGCTAGTGAGCTCTTTGTGAAATCATTAGCTCATCTAAAGAACTTCTCCCTACTCTACATCAAATTCTTCATTCGACTAATAATCTTCTACTTTGAACCTGCGAACTTTGAACGTGTAGTTGGTAGATCGGACCTCGTCACTCGTCAACTCCACATTTTTTCTTACATTTTTATTATGAACTTCAGGTATGGCTTCAATACTAAAAATTTTACTCCAAGTCACTACATTAGTTTTACTCTCAATTTGGATATGAATGACTCCGAGATACTCACGCAGTCGAACTATAGTTTGCCACTTTTCTTGTCTACACTCAGTTTTTCATAAGATTCTGTTCGACGCAGAGTTTTATATCAGTTTACACTGTACTATAAACAGATTCGAATTATACGAGCAACACTTACCAACACTTCAGTATGAGTTATCCCTGATCTGAAATGGCATTGAATACCGTAAGTCTTGAACACCTCCGTTAACTCGTGGTCTTCAATCGGCTCATCACTTGCTATGATAAAGATAAAGTGTTTCAATTTGTTTGCTTCTTTCAAGTGAGGTCCGCCAGGTGTTAATAAAACGTCTTCCCAATAAGCTCTACTGCTGCAATAATTTACAATCAGAACTTCAATAGTATGAAACAATGACCATTCGAACCAAACTGGATGATCACGTAAAGTATTGATGTATTTGCAGCGCACGATTCGGAGTTTGGGAAAGGCTTCGATTCCTAGCCGACGAGGAAGATCATCTGGAATTGTATCCACAGTCAGGCCTTCGAGGGTGTTCCGTAAAGCCATAAGCAACATCCTTGATTGTTCAGGTCGCCCAGTAGGTATGTACTCTAGAAGCTTAATTTGATTGGGACCGTTCCGACAGAAGTGACTCACGGCGTCCAAGTTATATCGATGACATTTAATCCAAAGGTGGCGTAAGTTTGGTAAGAAATCGGGGTCCAAATTTAAGCGACGTAAGGCTGCTAATCTTAATGATAAAGATTCTAATGAAGGGCTGTTTTGTAAGACCGCAGATAAGGATTTGGAATCATTAACAATTCCTCCTATCATAGTTCCTTCAATCGAAAAAGTCTTGAGGTTTCTTATACGCTTTATTGCAACCACCATACTATCTGAGAACCCAACTGAACGCGCGAAGACTAATTTCAAATGTACTAATCTTGAACCACATAAGCTAACAATATCAGCTGCATCCAGAATGAAAATACAATTTCGCTCCCAACGGCTGTACTCGTACTCAAACTGGTCACTGGATTCATCTGATAACGCCATGTGATACCCGGTTGCCTTCGAAGCCGGGATGTAGAGAACTTCACTCAAGCACAGTCGACGTAAGTTGGTGAGATTCGAGACGTTCAAACAGTTCATCCACATATTGACAACATAACGATTGAAATTTGGTGTTGCTAAACTTAAGGAGCCGTAGACAAATTGTGGAATAGCTGCAGCCCAAGATCTGGCAAGCAATCGTAATTGAAGTAATTGTACTATAGAAGAGTGGGTTAAGAATGATTGATCTGCGCCGTTTAATGGTTCAGTAGTTGTTGAGGGATAGCTGATACACAGGAAACTAATAATGTTTTCGACTATTTCCACTGGCAGAGGACGTGATGAAGCCATTATTGGCTGTGGTAATTTGTAAGAGACAGTTCAAGTTGTCTTCATTGAAACTAAACAATATGATAAAGCCTTCAGCATCTATCTTACATCTCGTTATATTAAAGCGCTCAATCCACTGAAGTACCAAGGATCCGTGTTTTGTTATTTGGAATAACCACCTATCCTGTTTGGCAGACCATCTTCGCGACCACCTAATATACGTAGTTCCGTGAAGCCTCTTGATTGGCAGATTGTTTACACATCGAAATCCAAATGTGTGCGTACTTTGTGGCTTTGCAATTATACGTGCTATATTGCCGTCCTTCACTGGTACTTCGAAATAGGCAGTATGTCCCAAATTTTGATTTATGATCCTAATCATGAGCAAGCTCACCAATGTGAACCACCCACCCCTTACACGTCGTCAATTAGTTCAAAATGGCCGGGTAAGTCTATTCACTCGAACTGTCTTTATGCATATGAATATTGAAATATGTATCGTGCAATCAAGGATCATCAAATCTTTCGCGTGTGCCTAGAAACAGAACACCAGGGTAGTAGGTCCCTGAGTTAGTATCTTACTCCATTATTCACAGTAAAGATTCCTTCACGAGACGGTTTTGGTCAAATATAGACGCCGAGGTTTCCGTTTACTACTTATCATGCTTTTAAATTCATTGCTCACAATATTTGATTTACTAAGTTCTTCACACTGCCTCGCTTCCAATCCGATTGTGATCCCTTTCCGTCGATTCCCTGATATATCATTAAGATTTACTTTAGAATTCCTTTATACATACCGTAGTTGTTCCGAGTATGGTCTTCATGATTAGGGATGCCGAGTCTTGTCTCGGCCACGTCATCTCCCGTCAAACCAACCTCTGTCCTGCTATCAAACCTCAACTGCTACACAGGCAAGCTCCCAAGTTTATATTCATATTTAATCTTTTATACAAATCTCAGCACCTAAATTGCAAAAACTCGACATTGTGTACACTCTTGTATTCAAACATCAGCTAATACGCAAACAAATAATCATGTTTATTGTAACAACACTAACAAAATTGGTTATTTAATAAGATCACATTATACAAAAGAACATGGTACTCAGTTAGGACCTTCGTCCAATGTCTGCCTCTTACTAAATTTTGATCATATACTCTATGTCAAGATGCACCAGTTTTAATGTCTTGTGTGAGAAGATCAGTTTACCGATGAGTTTGATAACTGCCAAAACTTAACATCCAGCACGTACAACATTAATCCACATTTTCTTCTACATATTCATAACCTGAAGCCAAAGACTTATATTTAAACTTAATCATAAGGTGCTTCGACTTGAATTCTTGAGTGTTCATCTCATTTGACATTAGTAAGATATCGTCGATATTTGAGCTTCGCCTGTTTTGTTAGTTACAACAAATCTACATACCTTGAGAAATACCAAAGATCAGTGTTCAGCGCTTTGTGTGAACAGGAAATTAGGCTTACAAAGCAAGAGTTTTTAGTTTATTAATTGGCTATGACTACATCTTTTCTCGAGTTAATTGTTCAAAATTGGATGAAACACAATGTTTGTAGTAGATAAGTCCCTCGAGTTCGAAGTAATGGAAATGTTTACATTGGAAGCATTCTTGCATCTTGATAGAGCTACGTATAACTGTCCGTGGGAGAAGACGGGCCTTGGAAGTAGTACTGTGACACGTTCAAGGCTTTGACCTTGGCTTTTATTAATTGTCATACAAAAAGCTGCCATAATTGGGAATTGGTACCGAAAGAATGGAATGGGGCATTCTTCGCTGCCTTTGTGATGTAGCTTCATCTTAGGTAGACTAATTGATGTTCCCTTTAAATCACCAGTTAAGACTCGACACTGCAAAGCATGCCTACTGTAATCCGTGATTAGAAGTCTCGTTCCGTTGCAGAGCCCGGTTGCTAGATTCAAGTTCCTCAAAATCATGACTGACGCCCCTACTTTGAGTTTGAGGACGTGAGCAGGGAACCCCGGGAAGTTAAAAGTATTCAATACATCAGCAGTAACTGGATCGATGTAGGCCTCATCCATAAGATCTTTTGATACTGATGTGTAAGATTGGCCTGGTAATGATTCCATGACATGTCGATTTATTGAATTCACAATTTTGTTGAGCGGAGTTATTAGGCATTGATTTGAATAAAACTCTGTTAGAGCAGCCCAATTCTCACATTGAACTAAGTTTTGAACCCCAGAGTATTCGTTGTCCAGAAGCGTAGCGTTGTAGGTGCTTGGTGGTCGTACAATGGAGACGTTACAGTGTTGAATAGGTATTGAAGCAACGTGGTCACGTTGGAGTCGGCCGGAGCCTAAATCTAATAACCACTTGGCAAAACTGACATTTTCTCGATTTGGAGTTGGAGATAGTCCACCTAAACAAATATTGACAGTTAAAGCAAAGCGATGTATATTGTTCCAAAGGTAAGAAGCTTTTAACGTGGCTTGGGCTTGTGTCATTAGATTAGCTCTTCTTATAATTGGCAAAGTTTGCCTGAAATCCCCTGCGAAAAGCACTGTTTTACCTCTGAATGGTAGATCTATACCAGTTAAGTCCCTGAGAGTACGATCAACACTCTCTATCGCGTATTTGTGCTGCATAGCCACTTCATCCCAAACTATAAATCTTGTATTTGCTACTTCGGCTGATCCTGAATCTCGGAGCGAAAGAGCACATATGGAATCATCATAAACTGGAATTGGGATTTTAAAAGCACTGTGTGCTGTTCGACCACGTAAGAGTAGCAAAGCTGCAATTCCCGCTGCGGACACCGCTTCGAAAGGTATACCGTTGGCGTTGCAAAAATGTAAGATACAATTTAAGACAAAAGTCTTGCCTGTTCCACCGGGGCCGTCCAAGAAAGCTAAGTAAGGTCGATGATCAACGATAGCTTCACAAGTAGCAAAAACAACAGCAGTTTGCTCGTGAGTCATGACTTCGAGCATTGATGTGTATTTCCGTTCGCTCTCTTCAGGGGTAGTAGAATTTACGTGATTCCTAACTCTTTCATCGGGGATATTCAACTCAAGTAATAATTCTTCATTAACTAAAGGCATACCAAGATGTTCTAAAGTTGTTTCCATAGCAGTTACAACTTTCTCTAGTAGAAAGAGACCGTAGTTATGTACATGCTGTTCAGTTGGTCGTGCGTGAGGGTTAAGCCGTCTAATTCGAAATTCGCAGTCATCAGTCAAATCTTGGATGTGATCCAGCCATAGATCTTGTGGTGCAGCCGGTGAGCTATGAACTATTATAATTGCAAGCATCAGCCTTAGCTGTTGCCCAGTTTTCCATACCGCAGCTTCAGTGAGAGAAGAGTGGTAATGTTGATCATCTAAAAGTAACCCCCGCTTATCAGCAGCTTCACGAAAGCTACTATAGCGAACTCCATCAACGGTGCGTAAGTAATCGAATGACAATGGCCCCGGGACTTGAGTTAATAGTAAGCGCAAGTAATAGATATCACCACGCTTGATATTAGCAAAATAAATTCTTCCAACTGATGATACACTATTTCTTCGAGGTGCTAGGCGCTTGGTTTGTTCATTCCAAGTAAAGAACTTTGGTACCTGTTGATACTTGAGAGAGCGAATCGTCTGATCTGAACCTCGTAATGGAGTGTTCTCCGAGCATAACCTGAAAAACTCCGTAAGCGTGGTCCTCTCTGCCCGGCCAGTCTCAATAGACCTGCGCAGTCCAGCTTTGTCCATGAAGTAAATGGTTTGCCGGCCTTCCAGATGCAAGCTCAACCGCTGAACTGCTGGGCTTCGACCTGATAACTCAAACTTCAATAAACGCCAGATTGCTATTGATAGTGACAAAGTACTTCAGCAAGGTAAACATTCCAAGTTCAGTATCATGAAATCATACCTTCAATTGCTGAAAGAAATCGGGCATTCACGTAAGTTAAAATTTCGTCTTCGTTGTTTGGGTCATCAATAGTTGCCATAGTGCGATCATGGCCCTTGAGGATATACTTAAATAGATACTTGATTGCTCTTATACTTGCTGCTACCTCAACATTTATATGACATTCGTATGTGAGAGTCAAGAATCTGTTGTACGGCACTACCTTTTGATTATCATAACGAACTGTCCCTTTATCGAAATACCGTCCGTTATTCGGCCTTTTGTAGGTTGGGTAAGCGTCCTCAGCAAGCTCCGTCGTTTCACAAAATGAGCGTGGATACCCTAATCGGCAGTTAGACCCAGTCCAGCACTTGTATTGTTCGCAAGGCCCGTGTAGCATAAAAGTCGTAACCAATTCAAAAAGCTTGGCTTCAGTATTGGGATTTGGAAGTTGGCAACTGATCATACAATCAATTTGTTCGGGGGTAGTTGGTCTATCTGCTGATTCGAGAAATAAGATAAGGTGGACGTGGGGGAGTCCTCTCTTTTGGAATTCAACCGTATAGACATAAGCTAAGCATCGGCCAAATCGTTCCTGCTTGGTCACATCCTTTAACAGTGAGTGAAACTTCGCATGAAAGACACGAGCAACTAAATCGGGGCGGTCTTCTGGTGTCTGCCCATACTCCAAACAATCAGTAATTTCGCACCATTGCGGATTTGCTGTCATTGTAATAAACAAACTCGGATGACCGAACTCCGCTACTAATGACATTGCATCTTGATACAATTGTTGCATGTGGCGGGGACCACCAATGAAGCTGGATGGTAATATAATGCGGCGGCCGACGAGTTCATCTTCTACTTCGTTACTTAATGCTTCTACTGCACCTTGATATAACTCTGCTCTCAGTTCTTTCTGATGGAATCGTAGATATTGAAGTCGCGAGTGTTCGACGCAGACATACATGTCGACTGCGAATTCTTGGAATAAACGACCCGAAGCATGGATTATCGAAAAACCGGAGCGTTGGAACAGTAAATATGCAAACCATTCGAGGTTTGTAACTACGCCGTCACGTCCTACAAGAATGAAGTAGGTAAATTAGATTCGTGAGTTTTCATATAATATAATATTCATTCTTGTTCTCTATAAGTAAAATATAATGAACTTACGTGCTTCAGTTGGGTTTACAAAATTCTTGTGCCAGGTCTGGGAACCATAAGGAAAAAGCAAAGGATAACGAAGTGCGAAATACGCCGTATGTAATTCTGAGATTCGTTGCCTATCTCCAGTTTGTCGTTCCAGGATGATGTCCCGCTGACGATCTCCAATTTGGCCATTACCTTCAATAATGGCTGCCACTTCGTTGGCAGTAGAACGGTTATAACGCCTGTGGTCGGTACCAGCTGCAGTTATTGTGTTAATTCTGAGTTGTCGAGTATCACCAGCGTTGCAGATAGCAGCTGCAGACCGGAAGACTTCGGCATATGGGTTATGTAAGTCCATGAACCGCTGAAATAACATCAAAATCTGCAAATTTAATTCATTATTGAAGTAGGCATTACGGCTTTGAGCTTCGGCTTCACCACCTCCGCCGTAAACAAATATTTGGGAAAACCCAGGGTGATTCCCAGGAACTGGCATCAGAGACCCAATGTTGTGTGAAAGCTGTCCAGAGATTCTGAATGTATAAATACCCCGCTGTCCCATTACCGATCTATCGAGTGTAGCACCAAGAGATGTGAACGACATGGCATTATTGTACTTCCGTATATTGCATCTAAAATGAGCTGAGACTAAGTTGAAATCAGGATCACGTGGCATTGTTTTGACAATTAGTAAGTTACTAACTTGGATCTTGTGCCGTTAGTAGAGCATAGTAAAACACAGGTATGTCCTGATCAACATCTTCTGCAAAGTAGCGCATTGGAAGCTCGACTTGCCCATGCTGGCAACAGTTCCCGTAAGTCGAGTCTAACAGATTTCGGTCTCTGAAAGTTCTTTCAATCACCCATCTATACGCGCCGCATCCGGAACACCGGTCCGTTGGTCGACCTATGACATGTGGAATCTCGTCACGAAACCGCGTGCGTAAGTTGATTTCGCTGCCCAAGAGCTCGGACTGAATTGCGAGTCCCCTTCGGACGCTATAATTAGGCATGATACAACTATAAATACAAGTTAAAATCATTCATCAGTTGTTGCTGGATTAACCATCTTCAATTCGCATCTATATAATAATCAGTTGAACAAATTCGAGAGAAGACTTACTTCAGTATTGCAGCTCTCACCCTAGTTATCTCTTCCGTGGTTGTTTCGATTCAAGGGCGAGACCGCGCTGTAACAACTGGACGACTCGATTAGGAAGGAGTTGGGGATTTTACCCGAAAACGTATGCAAGATGAAGACTGACTATATTTGGGAATTGATAGACCAAGAAATAGAGCGTGTAGAAATCGAGTTTCTCCGTCGAAGTTTGAAAGAGATTGAATTGAGCTGAGGTCAAAGTTTGCAAAGTTAATATTGATGATTTCAAAGTAGTTCTTTAATTTAAATTCAGGATTTGTGCTACTATGACTATAAATGACGAGTATTATTCTGATTGCATAATTCGATTGGCAAGTTGGTAGTTTCAAGTTGTCAAATAATGCTTTCAGCCGAAATTTTGAGTTCTTCGAATGAAATCAGATGGAGAAGTTTAGGTTAAACAACGAGGTTACGGTCATGATTATGGCGAGGATACTTGGTATTGAGCGTTTGTTGCAGTGTTGTAATGCATATCTCTGATGTTGGTATTCGTTCTTTGTAGATTTGAAGCTCTCTGTTTAGTAAACAGCATATCTAGCTTAGTGTATACGGCAGCATTGCATTGGTCTATCAACTCACAACTAACATCATTGACTATACGGATATATATGAACTACTGATGGATTAAAAAAATGCTGGTTTACAGCAGGTGTTTCTGTGTTAGTGTTATTGGGTCAATGTAACCCTCTACTCCTCTTGTCCATCAGCTGTTGATTTGAGTTGATCTATTGTTGCTTTGATACTGGGAGATGGCTGTCTGCTCAGGTCGAGTAGTGGTTTGGCTTAATGGATTGAGAATACAACTTTGTATTACTGAACAAATCATATAGATGAGGATTGAATAACAATACGTATAGAAATGCGTACAATAGATCTTAAAGAGAATGTTGAACAACTCGGAATACGAAATTCACGGAAAAACAATTTTGCCAATGCCAGAAGAGCACAACCCACAACTGCATGATTTGTAAAGAAATTGCATGTACTTTGAAATAATTGTTTGGTGTGTGAAACTAAAAACAAATTCCATCTACCGAAGTCAAAATACGAGGGGCTGGGGCATTCAATCTACAACAGTACACACCTCGTATCAGCACGGGCACAGTTGGGGAAAATGATACTTGGGCAAGTGCGTGAGTCTGAGATAACTTACAGAGTGTACTATTCGGCTATGGTCAAATCGAGAGCTCTACCCCTTTTGGTATTTCGCTTTGGTGGAGCCCGAGTTCTCTTCTTGCTTGACGGGTTTGGAATGGTGTCCGATACAGCAGTGTTTGGAGAGCTATCAGATGGCCCAGCTGCAACGTCGTTAGAAGCAGAGGAGAATGAAGAAGGGCCATAGTCAGAAGGCCCGAATCGGAGACTTTGAACCGATTCCGAATCAGTAGTTATGAGTGGCGATTTGAACTGCGCATTTAAGGAGCGTGGCGTGAATCTAGTTAAAGAACATGTATTAGTCTTGTGGGACTCAGTTTCAGATTTTGGGATTAGCTTACTTCACGGGTTTGTTTTTGGACAACTGCAGTTTCGCATCTTCCCGGCCCAATTTGTCAGACTTGACCCCTACATCGTATTCTTTGCTGCCAGTTGTTGGCGAGACCTTGCTCGCCTGAATTCATGTGATTAATAAAATTTTCGTAGAAAAATAAACAGGGATTGAACTTACAATTACTATGTACATGCAAGTTTTTTCATCGAAGTCTTTCAAGAAGCCATGGAATTGATACTCGCGCCCAACTTGCAATATTTTTGAAGTTCCAGCCAAGTTACGAGTCGGTGGAATACGATATTCAACAGTGGATTGTTTAGGGCCCTTCGCCTGCGGTGAGCAAATCTCAGCTACTGTTCGAAGTGATGTGCGAAATTTACTTACAGTTGGATTGTAATCGGAATGTAAAACAGTCACAACCGTGACAATCTTCTCTCCATCAGCTGGATTAGGTATACAACCATTGGTAATAGGCTCCGGGAATTTATCAATGGCCGTAATGATGCCAACTCCGGTCACCGCAATTGAGTCGACTAAGTTACCACTGAAGTTTTCTGAAGAACTAATCAATACTCGGTCAGAGGCTTCAAAGAATAGTATGTCTTTCGTGGTTTCATCCGTGTTTGAAGGAAAAAAAGACCCTCTAAGGAAATAAATATTGCCTGGCTCCAGTTTAAATTGAGCTTGGCTGTATCCTTTAAGTTGAATATCATAGCTCATTAAGCGCTCCCGATGTGCGCCACCGCTAGCGATCGATGTTGCATAGGTCCGATACTCTACTCGCCATCCGTTTTCTGGTGAAAGCTGCTTTAATTAAATAGGGCACAGTTAGCGAAGCATGAGACCACCTATTCAAAAGGTGAAGCTTGCCTTGCTCTCAATTTCAAAGTTTCCAGTCAAATACAAACCATGAGTAGTTGACTCGTTGGGATCGGCCATCGGATCTTTTTAATAACCCCAAAGTAAGACTGTATCTATGATTGCCCACATGAGAAAAACACAAATAATAGTTAGCTGTGTTGAGAAAAAGTGTAGAGAGTAAAAGTATTTAAGCCACACACTAAGTGGACAGATATGTATATAAATGAATATAAATGGTTGTAGAATATGGGGGGAGTTGGGTCTGGTGATTCGAGGACTGACCGGGAATCGAGGAACGAGATTATTCGAGAAACGAGATTATTCGAGGAACGAGATTATCGGGATCAATCAATCAAGATCAAGATTTCGAGATTAATCAAGATTTCGAGATTAATAGTCGAGGAACAAAGCAATTGTGGTCGCTGTTTCTTGAGACTCTATATATAGTAAAAATTTATGTCAGTTTCCAAAGCGAGATTTGAAACCTAGACGTGAAAACGGAAAATGGGGTTATCTTTTGGCTTGATCATGATAATTTGCCGAACGTCAGCAATTGATTACTCCATCGGTTGTAATGCGAGCGAGTCAACTCACATGAAGCTAAAGTATCACAGCAGCAATACTTGAGGGTCGTATTTTCTGGTCACAGACCCAAGTAGCCAGTCCTGAGCACTGGCTTATAGTAAATTGGAAGTTATATTTGTTAATTGTATTAAGTGGAGAACAAACCATGATTAGAGCATATTATCTACAACATGAGGTGGTCGCGAGATTGTCGGTGAAGAACTGGATTCGAGTCTAGTAAATATTTAATTATGACGTTGTAATGGTCATTCTAGAAACAGTGAGCATAAGGCCAGGTGAATACTTGGGAATTAACAAAGCGTGAGCTTACATCACAAATTTGTAACGTGGTTTGGAGTTTCTGTATTCCGTGTACAGGGTTTGGTTGGCCAGTTGGAAGTAGTTTCAATTTTGGGGAGTCTGAGTAACTGGGTCGAGTAACCAAAAATTGATGCTGTCTGTCAGATGTAATTTGAATTTGAAGTTCTTGGATTGTAGGTGGTTGATGAATATATTATTTAGGGAAAATATCTATCGAGTCAAAAGAATAGCGTTAGTTCTTAACTTGATCGCGAGCCGAGAATGTTTAATAGAGACAAAAAAAAAGATTTGATTAGTTAATTAATTTGGATAAATTGTGTTCACAAGAAAATGAGGTGAAGTAAATACTAATTATATATTCCGAGTCATGGGCAAAATCAGCGTCTTTGACTTCATCTTTATCAGATGTGCGACCGGTTGAACATTGGAGTATAGAAAGTTCGCAAGTTCCGAATATTGCTGAGTTGTGAGATACTCGATTAGAAGGATAGGTAGTCATATATGGACTTCTCGGTCGAACTCTGGATAAGTTAATGCGGGTGGTTCGGTAAGCAGATCAGTATGAGTATAAATGACAGTGGAAGTGTTGGCAAGATGGAAGAATCATCCCCCTGCGGGGAACTTCGAAGCGAGGTACATGTGAAGTGGTGCTTAGCCCTGGCCCGGCTTGTAATATTCTCAGCCCTGACCCTGACACCCTAATCCTAACCCCTGACTCCTAAGTCCCAAACCTAACCATTTCGCATATGAATTATTCTATGTCCTAATCTTGGTAGGATTTTTGTAAGGATCCCGGTATCCCCACCCCCCCCCCCCTAGTAACCCCACCACCCCCCTCCCATTCACAGCTAGTGAAAGGCTTAGTGCCTGGTGACACATGTCGTGACAGTGCCAGATTGAACCACGCTCCCATCTTTGTAATTTTTGAAGTTCACCCAAAAAGCTTCAGCTCTATCCAACTTTTTCCCAGCTCCATATCATCCAACTCCACAGCTCACAACTCAAAAACTCTTGTCATCATCTAACAACACACCACACCTCAAAAATGGATTTTGGCGAAGTTATATACCCATCCTTACAAGAAGCTGAAGATGCACTGCGGAACTATGCCAAAGGATCAGGCTACTGGTTGAAAATCACCCGCACCTGTTCTGATAAACATAAGAGACAAAAGAAACGAGTCTTTGCCTGTTCTCATGGTGGAACACCTCAGCAAGTCGTCAGTGCAGTTCGATCCACCTCAACTCAACTTCTGGGATGCAATTGGTCTGCTACAATTCGACGTGTGGAAATCACTCATCAGTGGAAGATTGAATTTAAAAATGATCAGCACAACAATCATGAACCTTCTACAAACCTTGCTGAGATACCAGCTTCACGTAGACTTGCACCAGAACAGCACAACTTTGTTATTAACCTTGCAAATGCAGGTGTTCCTCCATGACTCATTCTACGCACCTTGAAGGCATCCGATCCCACTAACTTGTCAACCAGCCAGGACATCTACAACATGATCAAGAAACAAAAACTTTTGGATCTCAATGGACGCACTCCACTTGAAGCTTTGATAGACAACCTCAAGGCAAATGATGTGTTCCATACCTATGAACTGGATTCTAATCACCGACTCCTACGTCTGTTTGTTGCCCCCAAAGCTAGTGTGAAGTCGGCTTCGGACTTCTGGACATCTGATGTGCTACTGATGGATTCAACTTACAAAACCAATCGGTGAGATCTTTCACAGCAATCAAGTTTAATCAGAGTTGAGACTGACTGATTTTTGTGGTTTGGTTGTCTTAGGTTTCAAATGCCACTCCTCCACGTGATGGGAGTTTCACCAACACATCAGTCTATCTCTCTATGCTTTGGTCTAATGCGACAAGAAACTGAAGCCGACTATCGATGGGTTTTGGAGCAGATGAAGCTGTGCTTTGGGTCCAAGCTTTCAAATCTGCAGGCTGTTGTGACTGATAGAGAGCTCGCCTTGATGAACGCTCTGAAGGAAACTCTACCACACACCAAGAATCTACTCTGCAAATGGCATATCGAGAAAAATATTCAAGCTAACATCAAGATGAAATTAACAGACGAGCAATGGAAAGCGTTTCAAAGCAGCTGGCAGGAAATTTGCAACTCGATCTCTCCCGAAGACTTCGAAGCACGCTTTGAGGCTCTTCGAACTGATATTGGCGAGACTTCTTTCAATTACATCAAGAGTACGTGGGTGATTCACAAGGAAAAGTTTGTAACTGCTTGGACAAAGGATATAAAACATTTTGGTCACACCGTCACCTCTCGGATTGAAGGTGGTCATGCTGGTATCAAAGGCTGGATCTGGACATCAACTGGTGATCTTGCAACTGTATACACCAAGCTGGAATTTGTTTGTCAACAGCAAAGAGATAGGATAGAACACCGTATAGCCTTTGATCGAACTCATACTTTATCTCGACTTCGTCCTCAAATCTGGACTGATGTCAACAGAAAAATCTCGCACTACGCACTACTAGAGGTAAGTTCTTGTCTAGTTTCCTCCCAACAATTCCTTTCCTGATTCATTATGAAACATTCTAAACCCAAATCACAAATAGACCTACAAGCAGTATCAAAAAGCCCTTTCTTTAGATGACACCAACAACTGCACCTACGTACTTTCTGGATCAAAAGGATTGCCCTGTGCCCACTTCCTGAAGCATCTCATCTTATCTTCGAGGAAATTGGCTGTGAACCACTTCGACCCTCATTGGCATCTAGAACCGCCTTTAGTTGACCCAGTTATACACAACCAACCACCTAACTTTGACTCGCTACTCAACCTCGTACGAGCACAACATAACACTCTCCCCGCCCATCAACAGAGCGTGTTGTGGAGTCAGTTAAGCCGGATTCTTGTCAGTCCAACTCCCACCATTGGTGATCCAGCTCCGATTCGATCTCGTGGTCGGCCTACAGGATCTTCGAACAAGACCAAGCGCGATCTTTGTCGTCATGAGCATCAGGAAGCTGAACAAAACGGTCCTCGATGTAGCCAATGCCACAAGACAGGTCACAACAAAAGAACTTGTCCTATCCCAGTAGAATCAGCAGATCCGGCCACAGTCGAGCATGGAGTGGTCTAGTCGTACAATGCTCAACACATCCTAGGACAAACACTATAAGATCCACCAAATACATACATGGATCTGAATTGTCCTTCTCTCTCTCCTTGTCTGTCTCTGTAGCTCTACAAGATCATCGCCTTGTTGGCTCTCGTCATTCATTTTGACACCACACTCCTTTGTCTTTGGTAATGAATCTTGTAATCGAGTCATCAAAGATATCAAACTTTGTCCAGCTACACAATAAGCTACGGAATTTACCCGAGCAATCACACTTGCTCAAAAGGGTTGAGAACCGAGTGGATTGAGCACAAGAACACAATGTGATCAATTCAATCGGTTCTCCTGACATCATGTGTTTTTTTATCTGGTCTTTCAAATGCTTAACCACACTAACCCAAAAAAAGGGAAACATATAAGGCACTCGACACGATCAATTCAATCGGTCTGATTGATTGTTTCTCAGAATTGTTTTCCAATCGCTCCGATCGATTCAAATTCGATCGGTCGGAGCGATCTCGATTCATATTGTTTGTTTGTTTCGCGCAACACTTGAAGGATCCTTCAATTATTGTACCTATATGATGTTTTGTTAGGGAAACAATCAAAGAAAATTCTCAGTGAGTGCTGAGAGCGCGGTTCAAGCTAGCACTGTCACGACTTGTGTCAGCAGCGACTAAGCCTTTCACTAGCTGTGAACGGGAGGGGGTGGTGGAGTTACTAGGGGGGGGTGGTGAGGATACCGGGATCCTTTTTGTAATTCTGTTCTTAGGAATCGAAATAGAGTGGTCGTAGCGTGTCAATATGCTTAAGTTTTGAATCATATATTTTGTTAAAAGCTTTACTGGATTCTGCTGAAATGCATTACTCAAAGTTGTAACTCACATGTAATCTAATTTCATTTGTATGATTCATATTTGAAGTGGCATCTAAAATTATGAGGGGACGTAGCAAAGTTGGTTGAATTCTGGAAAATCTGCTATCGAGGCAGTTGACGAGGAACTCTAATGATTTAGTAATTTGGCTAGTGTAATACATCAAGCAATTATCATAATATTATATTACATTGGAAGAAGCTCCTTAATATGTAGTGCGCGTGCGGTAAACTGCGTCGTTGGAACTCTACGCTGATGTAGTAGTGTGCTACCTCCAATTTGTACAAAACTCTATTGCCCTGGCTTTGAGTTTGTGCTGGGGGGATGGGATTGTCTACGGTAAAACTTATCATGACTTGAAATACACATGAACTTATTGGTTGGGGCGGACTGGTGTAATTGACTGAATTGTGATCATTACCTGATTGGTTTTAAAAAATCAACAATACATTAGTGATATAATTAGGGCGTAGTTTCCTTGATACTGGTCTCGAAGAGTAGCTTACGGTTATTGTTCAACAACTCACGTTGAATACGGCAGATGCCTTCGTGTACAGTGATGAAGGTAGTAGTATCGGGGTCGAATAAAATGTGTCTGATGAAGTATCAACCCATAACAGGAGATAGACATTAGGTTACATTAGTTTGCAATTGTAGATTATAGCTTACGAATTGAGTATTGGAAATAGCAATTGAAAGTCAGCGTAATTGAAGTTGGTAGTGTGATTGTTAATGAAATTATTGACACTTGTTGCCCCAGTTATAGAATTAATGATTGGTTTGATTGTGAGTTGAGGAAGTCTATTCTTGTAAAAATCAATGATGAAGTAGTGATTTGGGTTATGTATAGAGATGTTGTCTAAAATTGACTGGAATTGATTATACGTAGCATGAATTGAGTTAGTTATGTTGAGTGTTACATCAAGTTCTAAGAATTGTGGCATTTGGTAAGGTAAATTCTGATTGAGTATATAGAGGTGTGTGCAGATTGAGGAATCAGAATTCGTGATAATTAACTGGTGCAGAGCGAATATGCTGAATGCGACACGGTGCTCCTTCGAATTGAAAAACTTGGGAAAATGGAGGTGACGGCGGTTATAAAAAGTTATAAATAGATCTTCGATCATCCTACTTAGACGTAAATCATAAATGATGCTAGACTTGCATGGTTGGTGGAATTTGTTCGGGGGTTACATTGATACTTTGTTGTTGTCTTCACTTTGACGGATATCGCTAATGATCGAGGTTGATATCTAGACTCCGGTTGAAAGGGAATTTCATCCTCTCCAATGCAGGTCTGCAAGGTTATCGTTATGAGTTTGTGCATGATCTTTGTAAAATGGATTTTCCAACATCCCGTTTATGTGGATAATTAGGTGTTAAATTTTTCGACTGTAATTATCTATTATGGTGATTGTTGATTAATTGCTGTTTATGGGAGCAAGTGAGTACACGAAGTTCCGAAGATGTGAATTGGGCAAACCATTTGTAGCATCGGTTCGGAGGATCTTGTTTTGACAAAGGCAAAGACAGAATATATGTCCAGGAGCTTTTTTTTCACAAAAATGTTGACGAAAAAACGAAACGTGAATCTATAGTAATCAACAATTTTTACATTAATCGGTGATTAAGGTGCTAATACTGTCCTTGGTTGTCACACAGTTGATGATAGTAACAACGAACTATGGCTGGTCAAATTTGCAGTCATCGTATATTGCTCTTTGTCACTTTGGCAATGGTGCAAAGTTCAATCAGTCGTGGATTATGTTTGAAGAAGCGGGCTTATCAGGAGGTACAGGTTCGTAATGCTGCGGTACTGGGCATGTAATGCGATTTCACAGATTCAAATGGCAACTTGGGGGCTTTTGAAAACACTTTGGAGTAATAGGAATCAATCCTTAATGTCTGGATAACTACAATTGACACACGCTACAAATACACTGTGTCTTTTGAAACAAAGGGTTATTTTTGTAGACAATTGGAGAAGATTCAAAAAAAGTGAGCATAGTTTTGTGCGGAGTACACAATTAATTCAATTTAATAGTTCATGTGATATGGATCAAGAAGAACACGAATGGAAAAAGGTGCGTAACGTCACAAATAAACTGCAGCTTACTGGGAGTTCAGACTGTGCTTTTGGGAGCTATCAATTGAGTCAGTCGAGGGACGCTGTTTTTTCTTGTCACTGAATATGGAGCTATGTGAATCAGTCTTTTGTGCAGGTGTTAAGTGATAATTGAGCACTTGAAACAAAGTCAAAACTTGGTTCAAATGGCGTCTATTTTGTCTTCGAGATCACCTGTCGAGTCAAAAATGGTGACTTAGTCATATAGATTTACCATGTTATTGGGATAAGAAAGCCTTAAAGTTTAAACTTACTTCTTAGTTGTGATGGTCCTGGCTGAGCTACTGGTGAATAAGTGTGGGAAATCGCTATGAATTCCATGTGCCAAATAAGCTTCACTGTTACCTGCAGTAGGTTCAGAGTTGCAAGCGGATGAGGAGCAGCCTTGAAGTTGGTGTTTCGAATTGTATGACGCGGGCAGGGTGTGATGATCCAGTGTTAAGGAGTTAATTGGATGCAACTTATTAGGAAATAAGGGGATCAGTGATGTGACAAACATGTTGAGTGGAGTAAAAATTACTAACTGATGTAGACGGGCCTCGAAATTGTACTTCTGATTTGTGTAAAGGCGGCAGATTTTGGTGGACGGATCTCAAGGTCTTGGTTGGGTCCATCTGATTGAAGAGTAGGGGTGGAGTCAGTGAAACGAACATGATGTAGAGTAGGGAGTACATACTGATGTAGAAGCGCCTCGAGACTCTGCTTCCGAATTCTGTGACAAGGGCGGCGTTTGGAACACAGGTGTACAGGTATTGGCCGGAAGTGACTGATGGTGGGGAGGGGATGTGATGAATCGAAGGACGAAATTAATGGAATAAGGAGTACGTACGTCTGTTACTTGGTAGAAAATCCCAGAGATGTAGAAGACTTGCGCGACGGCAGGGTGAGATTTAGTCATTGCAGTTGTAGTAGCTGAGAGTTGATAATAATGACAGTGGAGAGCAAAAGTGAACCAATTAACAAATAGGTAGAAAAAAATAGCTGATGACTGGGGTGAGGAGGAAATGTAAATTGAGCATGAAAAATTAGAAACAAAATAATAGTAGACAGAGTGTATAATGGGGATGGGGAGATGGAGAGAAGGTGGGGTCGTTTGAACATTGAAGGCCAAGTATTAAGTATTCAGGACCTTTAGATGAGAAAGGAGTTTGGAGTGGAAGATTGATAATTGCGTTTGGAGGTAATTTGTGAGCTTAATGAATCAAGCGACAAAGTAACAGCTAGCGGGGGAAAAGAGGGCAATGTGGAAGTTGAATCGAATGTGATTATCTCGAAAATTGGGGTTAAGATCATTTGGGCATTGCAAAGGTTGCAGCTAGCTACTCGGTAATTGAAACACAGATCAAGCAACCAAGGTAGCTTCAAATCTGCATAATCATCCGAATAGAGTATGCAAGTTAAATCAAATGTGATTATCTCGATAATTGTGATTAAAAGCATTTGAGTATCGCAGGTGTTAAAGCTGGCGACTTGGTAGTTGAAACACGGGGCAGGGAGCAAAATTGATCTTTGTGAAAGAGAGTTCCAGCGAGGCAGGAATTAGTTTGGGGGGAATTGTGAATGTAGAAAATGGTTAACAACAATATGAATATCACGTTGGACAGATGGATTTAGAGCAAGGCGGATCACGAAAGACATTGGGCAATGGAATGTAATATTACCAAGGGCGAAACTTCGGCTGCTCGAAACATCAACTGCGTCAGCTGCAAGATGTCAATTTGTTGATTTAGATTGAATTTGTCTATTTTGTTGGATTCGAGTGTTCTTGTTTAACTTGTAATGATACAATCTTTAGCAAATGCGGCATCGAGAGTGGAATTGACGGATAGCCACATCTCTTTGTTGGGGTCAGCCACTGGAGCTGCTGAGAATAAAGTAGAAATTAGATCGTGACTAGTGCCTTCGCGAAGACCGGGGCAGTGGTCACACAGATTGACGATCTTTTGAAGGGTTTGTTCAAAAGATAACATTTTCAGTTTTCACGTGCTTGTTATTGAGTTTGAGAAGTTTTGAGATTAAGTTTGTGGTGATATAGGGTGATATGCGGTGTGGTGGTTGAGGGTATGTACTCTTTGATGAACTTTGGAATTCCTGCGAGGTTTGGAATACTTCGGAGTTCTTTGGAGCTTGAACATCTCTGATCATCTGATCACACCACCTGGGCTACCTTGGTCACGTGAGGTCAGTATGTTCAGGTGACCAAGGTAGCCAAAAATTCACCTTTCACGTCAGGTACATCAAGCTTTCACACCTCAAAACTCCACTTTTACGTCAGGTACCTTTGGGCAGAAAATTCGGAAAAAACCACTTTTTGGTCAGGTACATAGTCAAATCTTTTGAAGTTTTGGCCCCAAAAAAGCCCCTTTTTCGTCAGGCACCTCCATAGGCGCTTTCCAGGGTCCTACCAAAATACATTCAAATAGTTCAATTGGTTTGGACTGCTTTTGAATTGGGTTCTGGGTGCAGGAACCGCAGCCCAGTGCATCCTTTTGTAGTCCTTGACTTGGTACAATAAGGTAGGGACTAATTGACCAGTCAACAATTACATAGTGAGGGTGATATGTATTTGATTTGATGAGATTATCAAAGAGACAAGATTTAAAAGACATGAAACAAATAAATCAAAAACCGATAACAAAAAAATCAGTCAAGACTCGTATAAAAGAGAGATGGAAAAGACTAAACAGTTGGTAATTACATAGTGAGCTCGAGTTCACAATTTCAGTCAATGGGATCAAAAATAAAAGAGTAAAAAGATAACATGTAAAAAGAGAAAGAAAACAAGAAAGAAATTGAACGGAATTGACAAGAGAGGTGTTCTTTTATAAGAATCAGATCGACTCGGAACACAAACAGAAGCAATTGAAAGGGTGAAGCATTTGGAAACCTATAGAGATGCCCTGATAACAATACTCAAAACAACACATTTACACACGGTGCAGATTGATGAAAATAGAAAAGAGAAGAAAAGATAAGTACAAAGACAGCAAAAAAAACAAGTCCGAGGAAGCAGGAGGAGAAAGTGTGAGCAGAAGGTCTTCAGCTGAAGTTCAAGACTCAAGTCCTGCCAAGTTTTCTCAAGGTCTCAGGGCCTGAGCACGCTGTGGGACATGTCCCAGGATCCCTTGTTGGGTGTCAAACGGACTCAAATCATTGACCGCCAGGACAGGCCAGAACCCAAAAGACATCGCGAGGATATCTTGCGGTCACCCGCGGGATGTCCTTGGGGAGGATGAAGAACGGACATCCTCGCCTGTCAACCATTGACCCGCAGTGTACAGAGGATCAAGACTGACAATGCATGACAAAGGAAAGATGGTTAAATGGTTGGAATTGAGGTTGTTGTTTATGAGTATGGCATTATGATTTTTGTCTGGTCAATTGGTAAGTGACCACCCTCAGAGTGTATCAAGCCCAACTGCTGGAAATGGATATCACAATTGGAGACAAACTGGCCACAAGTACACTGAATTTCAAAAGGGTTGAAATCAGAGTCATCAAAAAAATCCTAAGCTGGCCCGTGCGGGGCGCAGCACCGGCCAAAAATCAACTGGCCGGGCTGTCAACTAACCCTTCACGCCACTGACGATCTGCAGAAGATCGATCGTCTTTCTGGTGTTTCTTTTTTTTTCTTTCTTTAGATTGTTTTTTGTGTTTTTTTTTGAACTTTCTTTAGATTGGTTTTTCTGGTTGGGGTGAACCCTATCGCCACCATTTCCGTTTCTCCCTCTCATCGCGGAATGCTCAGCGATTCCTATCCCAATTCCTCTTTCTGGTTCCGAACCTATCCTACCTTCCGTTCTACCCTCACTATGGGTTTTGTCGTTTACTTGGAGCAAATCAAGCTCCTGGCCACTCAGTTGGCGGTGGAGAATGTCTCTGTCCATTTCTATTGGGGGTGTGCTCAGTTTCACCGACTGAACCAGTTTTGGTCAGAGAAGCTTTTAGAGCTTCTCTAATAACCGGGTACTTAAGATACTCACGGTCCTTAAGAGCTGTTCTACCACTGTGGACACTGCTTATGTATTTAAGGTTTGTGTTTAATGTGGTGTGGGGTGGGCCCCAAAGAGGTGTAGAGGTTAACCAGGATCTACATATCCTGCCTCTAACCTCTCTGAGGCGAGAACAGTACTCTCTGAGAACGCGGGCTTCTCAGCCCCTAAACTCACGTGCGCTCAGAGCCGTGAGCCCTGGGAAGCTCCATTCTCTCGAGTGTACGTGATTCCTGACGCTCTCTCATCAAGACACCCCACTTACTAAGGTTTCGAATGCCTTCTGTGGCTCCCGCGACAGAATCTAATATTTGATTCCTCCCGTCTATGGCCTAAGCCAGAAGACTGTATCAAACAAACGAAGATTTATTACTCTACCGCACAGAAACGCCTCCGTTCAAAACAAATTCTCCGAACGAAACCTAAAGCCCAAAGTAGACGGCTGATCTTCAAGATCTCTCTCTCAACTCTTTCAACAAGGTACACGTTTCTTGTAGTTCTTTGTCCGAGTACTTCCTTAGGTATATCTTATATGCATCTGACGGCCACCTCCCGCATCTTTTCAGTGAATCTCTCGACGCTCCCATGTTCCACCTTAGAGACGCCCCCCCTATTCGAAATGAATGGCCGAATAAGAGTTTCTTCTTGGCAGGTCTGTGAGCATTCCAAATGTCCCTCAAGTAGGACACCGTCTCGTTTTTCTTAAGCGCCTGTTTATGAACGCCCAAGCCGATCGAGAAGATTTTGTCGGTAGGATTGCGTGGTCTGAAGTCGAATAGCGACCGAAGGGCTTTGACCGGGTCTAGGGCCAATTTCTGCTCCTGAACATGTATGTGTTGTAGTTCTCCCGGTCTAGCAGTCTTCGCATTCCTGATAGATATCCTCATGTTTAGCCCATTCGCTCCCCAGGTGACATCTCCCCATCTTGGTGTTGAGTCCGAGTCTTCGTTTGAAATCAACTCTCCGAGGCGTGCTGTTCCCCAGAACGCCACCAAAGCTAAAGCCAGGACCGCCAGGCCTTTCTCTCCCTCGTGCTGAAGGGTGTCTTTCAGCACCACCAGATCTGATATCATTACTGGAGGTCTCTTCTTCTCCCGGTAAGCGAATTCGGCCTCGATCACTCTAGAAGCTTTCAATAGGCCTGACACTGCATTGTTGATCTTTGACGGGTACTCTTCGTTGTGGAACAGGTGCCACGCTTTAATGCCGGCGATATAGGCCTTCAGAGTTTTTGAGCTTACGGATTCGTCGTCTGCTGCCCGCGCTTCAATTTTCCTGGACGCCCATACCACAAAATGTTTCATCACATCGGGCTTGATTGGTAAGAGGTCTTTCAAATCCTTGTTGTTTACTATCGCGAACCTTCGTAACTTCACAACGGCTGAGTTATAATGCTTCAATGTACCGTTCGCCCAGGTGCCCCTCAGATAGTGTTTCTGAACCTCGTTTACGTCTGACTAGTCGACTCCCAAAGCATTTCGTTTGAACGACCCGTAAGCCCGCGTGAGTTTGGCCAACACTTTGTCTGGTTCTACCGAGGTTGACTTCTGATCTCGTTGCTTAGAACTTTGGTGCTTCATTGCTAACGAGAGTTATTTGGTGTAAAATGAAACGCAGGTCTTCCGGGACTTCGATTAGAACCTCGTTGCTCCAGTGCAAATCTCCAAGAATCCCCCAGGACAACTGATCGGCGTCGTTATCACCCGACTTCACCCTTTGTTGCTTAATGTTACAGCCTAGATGGGTTAGTAGGTGCTGGATGCGTTTCAGCTCGCTATTGACCAATAGATCCTTCGATTTCCGCTTTCGCAACCCAGCCTGAGTCGTGGTGTTATCGGTGTCGACCCAGAAGGTCTTACCTTTCACATCATGCAACTTCTTCAACACCAGGAGACCTAGCCGTACGGCTACGGTCTCCGCCCACGCAATGGAGTGCTTTCCTTCTGCCAGCCCCAAGGCTTGCCAACCTTCCGTGAACTTGAAACTGGCCCAGTTGTGGCCGTTCAGGACGCCTATGCCGAAAGAGGATGACGCATCATTTACCCAACCGACCTCGAGTGGCCTGGAGCAGGTAACTAATGGTCTCGAGTTGAACTCGGTTAAACATTTCCTCCATTCTATCAAATCTTCGAAGACGTCCACCGGAACCTTTCTCTCGGCTCTCTTGTTCACCCAGCTCTTTAACCATCTATAAAAGGAACGCAAATACGCCGCCATGTGGGGAACAATATTTACCGTATGACCTAGTTTGCCTAAGATGCTCTCTATCTGAGCGTATTTCCAGGAGGAGTTCTCAACCAGTAAGTCCACAATGAGATTGAGCCGTTCTTTCAGCTTTTCCTCAGGAAGCCTACCGGTGTGGTCTCTACCGTTCCATATGAAACCCAGATAACGCTGTTCGTCTGCGAAGTCATGATTTTTCTTGGGGTTTGACTTGACCCCCATCGAAGCACTCAAGGCCGATACGTCGTCCAACGTCACTTTGTCTCCTGGACGTCGAAAGAGTAGGTTGTCATCTACCCAACGGAAGATCACGGACAACTCTAACAACGTTTGAATCACCACCTTCCACACGTCTGCCGGAGCCCCAAAGACCCCACAACTAGCTACTCCGCCGAACCCTACGGCGAGGTCAATCCAGACTCTATCACAGCCCCCAATCACAAGTGACTGGCAGCCCAGTACATCCCAGCGACCTCAACAAGTTTTTAATTTGTTTTCAATTTGTTTTGAATAGGTTGTTGAACTAACATTGCACAGTCTTTGACAAGTTTTTGGTTGACCAGTTATCACATATATCTTGACTGGTCATTGTAATGTTCTTGACTAGGCATGGACCAGATCTCCACAAGTGGTTAACCTGATCTTGAATATATATATGAGTCATAATGAGCTGACATAATCAATTCCCCATATGCATCCTTTCCAGCAGCACAGGTGAAGTCCAGATATAATGCCTCTCAAAATCATAGATACAAATTGGCATCATCTACAAATCAAGAGTGTTCAAACAGAACGGATACCCTGGGTCAGACCATTTACATCATCCTATGACCGTTCAGCGGCAATCATCCATCCATATCCATGCTATCATCCTCATCTTTGCCTTGCACAAATCCCTGGTCAAACCACCAAAGTCAGTCAAAAGCAAAAATCCCAATCAATTCAAAACTCACCAGATTCATCAATTCAACTGTTGAGAGTGTTTTGCTTTGAATTTCAAAAGTCCCTTTTTCATTCTTGATGACAACTAGCTGCCCAATGACCTTGTTGCACTCAATGACATGATATCCTCCATGCTTGTCATATAGCACTGAGGCATTCAGCAAGTCTGGCAAAGAATAGTACGGACTTTTGCATTTGTCATCATCAGAAAGAGGTATCAATGAATTGACAACAAGGAGTGGATGTTCATAATTGGGAAGCTTGATAATATCCGTGATACAGCCTTTCCTTTTACATGAGTCGTGGAAATATGAGATGTAGCTATTTCCAGGTGTCTTCTTGTAAGTGCTATGTGGCTTGTTCAAAATGAGGATCCTTGTGGTCACATCAAATTTTGAGCGTGCAGTGTACTCTGCCCCTATATGACCATTTTTTTGAAGGGTCTCAAAGGCAATAGGACTGAGTTGTCTTTCTTTCCACAATGTCTGACGCTTTCTTAAGAGGTATTCTCCAATAATAGAATCATTCTCAAAGGCGGTGTGATTGTTATTGATCATGGCTTGGAAGAAGCTACGTCTGGAATAGTGCTGAAGTAACGACTCGCCCTGCCGTTCTAGTCATGGAAAAATGACTTCAGCTGAGTGTTTATATGCCCAAATTGGAGATAAAGATATACCCTTCTTGCCATTTTTACGTGCTGCAACTAGGCTACCAATGATCCGCTCACCTGCCCAGCTAGCCATATAAGCAGGCGGCCCAAGAAGCGTTGAAATGGAGCCTATGTGTTCAGCAAAATGCAAATTGGGCTTTTTCATCATATGGGGCCATCCATCCCCAAGGCTTGCTTGGTGCTTTTCAACCAACTCCGTGAGCTTTTCTCCGTCACCACTTTTGAAAGATCGCAAAGTACATATGTTACCAATTTGAATGAGCTGCAGGAGGCAGTCAAGTATTTTGGAAGAGGTGTCTCCAGCCTCTCCAGAGCTGAAATGTGGTACCCAAGCAAGTACTATATAGACTTTGAATAGATATTGCCAGTCTGCTGCTTTGGGGGTACCAGCACTGGCCATTCCAAAGTTAGGCTTGGGTCGAGTGGTCCAAGAGGGGGCAATGGCATGTTCAAGGCAGTGCTGAAGCAAATCCAGTTCATAGGGGGTGACTGATGGAACAATAGCAGGTACAGGTGGTGGGGGTGTTGGAGATCGTTCCACTCTTGCGCGCTTCTTCCCTTTGATTGTGCGGTCAGATCCACCTGAAGACAATGGTAAGTTATGAAGGTCCGACGGTGCTGCGGATCTAGCTTTGTGCGAATGGTGTGATCACGGTTTAAGTAAAGACTTGCCCTGCTGTTCTAGTCATGGGACAACGATCTTGATAGGTCAGATGTTGAAATGGAGACATCCACTGATTTCTGTTTTTTGTGCAGCAAGTTGGCTGTCAGTTGAATTATCCAAAAGCAAACTGGGTGTTTCCATCAAGGGTGTCACCTTGGCCTGACATGCTAGAGCTACTCTGATCATTCAATCACTCTTGAAAGGAATATGCGAGTTATGGATGTGGAGCTTCCATAGCTGTCAAACACTTGTTCAACACTCAGTTGAGATCTTGCCAGTGACTGATCAGCATTTGTATGATGACTGGAGAAGATCTCTATGATAACTGGTTGAGACATGGTACACAACATATTGAAAACATCTTAAAAAAAAACTAAAAACAAATTAAGAACATATTGAGGTCATCGGATGTACTGGGCTGCCAGTCACTTGTGATTGGGGGCTGTGTATTATAGAAATCGAGGATGCACAGGAACCGGCGTTGGCAAGGGTGTAATAGAAGCTGGCGGTAGGCCTTCGCCCAGTCAAAGATGGCCATTTCCCACCGGCCTGGGTTGTCCTGTAAGAACCAAGCCACCCTATTAAAATCGTTCCATTGAGTCCCATAGTTGTGTTTGTCCACAAAGGAATTGACCGAAGGAATGTTCGGATCTCCTTTTGGGTAAGAAAGATCGTTGATCATTCGGATTGACCCGTCCCCGTTTACAGCTCCGCCGATGGGATTCGTCCTGAAAAATCCTAACTTCTCTCAAACCTGTTCCCTGGAGAACGGACCAACTAAACGGTGAGCTTGAGCTTCCTTCCATATTGTTGCCTCAATTTCCCTCCGGACTTCTCCAGCTGACTCGTGGTTTGGTGGAGTGAACCACTCCATGCCTTCAATCTCGTGCTGTGGGATGCCTAGACAAAACCCCTCAGTGAAGCCGTTTACAATATAGTGGATGTCGTCTTCTAAACCCACCCTCCTCATCAGGAGGGCCCATTGAGGGATCACCATGTCACACTTGACTCTGGCTGGCCAGTTGGTTGTCCCCGGTACCGTATAAATCTTCCGTTGGCTCAGGGGTAAGGTTTCCTTCCTAGAAGGTCCCGAATCTGCCTCTGGCGCTGACTCCTCTGAACTGGATTCATCGAGAGAATCGTTTGTAGTTGGCTCCTGACCTCTCTTTCCCTCTGGATCACTGTTCGGCGTGGCCCTGACAGGACTACTAAACACGACTGTGGACGAGCAAGAAGAAGGTAATTCATCTAAATTTCAGAAAACTGGGCACCAAGGATGAAGGAAAGGCTTTAACACGAGTTATTTTCTAAACGCGTACCGAGTACAGAAGGTACAACAAAAAGACAAAGACCATCAAGAACCCAAAGGAAAAGACAAGCAAATAATTTTGGTTGTGTAAAAACACGTCAGGATAAGGTTAACGGAATCCATCAAGCCAATCCGAGTTGCCGAGTATTGGGTAGACGCAGTAAGTCCAGACGTAATGATTCCGCGGGGAGATATTAACAAAACATCCTTGTCAGCTCTCCAACTCACTCGCCAGTAGGACCCTTTCCAGACACTCACTTGGCTTGCGCCGGGGCTCCTTTGTTCTGGACAAAGCTACCCTTCGGTTCCACTACTGGGGTGGTGCTCTGACCTGCCGGTGCCCGTGAAGTTGACGCTTGATCTGTCGAACACGTGAAGAGATTTTGGCCAATCATCAGACTCAGCTAATCTCTTCCGCACAGCCCTGAATAAGGACAACGACTAAACAAGCATCAACCGCGACTTACACGGCCTCTGAGCGCCTTGGCTCTGCTCTCCCTCTCCTTGGTAAGCGCCTTTCTGCCCTCTTCCCCTATTCCTATTACGACTCCTCCAGTGTTCTGAGTTGTTGTTGCCCCGGTTTTGATTCGCAGGGGCTTGAGTCTTCGTGACGCTCTGGTTCGGTTTTGGATTTCCCGAACCGAAGTTGAACCCATGTTTGGGTCCTCCCAACGCGTACGGATTCCCAGTGGAGTACACTGTGTCCCCTGCCTTGTCAGAGTGCCACTTTGCTACAAACTCAATGTCTGTCTGAAGGCCATCCGGTAAGCACACATAACTATAAGATTCCCCCTTCTTACGCTTCTCTCCAGGCTCTGGTTCATCTGACTCATGCTTCCTGAATACCGAACTTCTGATGTAAAGGTGGTAACGAAGTGCTACCATCCAGCATCCGTACCTTTCACCCATCTTGGTTACTATCTTAACGTGTTTCAGAATCCATCTGCCATAATCCTTGTGGCCGTAAAGTTCTGTCGCGTAGCGGCTCTCTAGGTTGCATGCTTCGACGAATTCGCCGAAATCCATCAACCGGTCTCTTTCGATTTCTTGGTTACAAACAGCCAACTCGCCAGCTTTGCTCAAGACACCCGTATCCGTCGTTCCGAACTTATTCACGCTTCCTCGAAGAAAGATGGACAAAGGAACGTAGTCATTCATCCTCTTGAAGCTTTTCGCCCATCTCTTTGGTAGATTTGGTAGATCGTAAGCTTTCACCTTCATCTCTCTGAAGTTGACCTTCTTTGACTTTGGTTTGTTCCTGGAAGGACTCAACGAGGAGGAGGAATCGGACAAATCAGAGTTTGAGGAGTCCGAGGACTGGGCGTGAAGAGGAGCCGGAGAATCCGAGTCCGAAAAATTGCTAGACGAGTCTGAGTCTGAACTAGAGGAAGAAGAGTCGGAAGAAGGCTTCCTCTTGCCTTTCTTCTTCTTGTGAGATTTCTCTCTCTTCCTAGACTTGGAGGATGACTCTTTCAATTTACTCCGTTTCGCTCTCTTCTCTTTATCCTTTTTCGACGACGGGCGGGGTTCATTATCGCCGTACTTGTCGTAAAAGCGCTTCTGAAGGGGTCTCACTCGGTTCAAGTGGCCTGACTTCACCTCTCTCACGATTTCCTCCAGCCACGCCACGCGCTCGGAGGATTTCCCTTTTCCCGCCTTGTCCTTCTTTTTCGAGCTGCTTGACTTCCCTTTTGGGGCGGAGTAGGACACTGCAGGGACTGGTCAAGTAACGGAATGAAAGGACCACTCGTCAGTTGCTGACGGTACAAGAATAGGGGTTTCCTAAGGAAACAACACCCTGTTGGAACTATTCCAACTCGACGATCAACAAGTTTATACCCTTGGATCTAGCCTCGAAAGGCCTCCCAAACACCCGGAGGTGGAGTGCTCTGCACATCTATGCGGGGGCATTATTTCCACCAAGACCGGGAGCATGGCTCTACCTTGTCTGGGGGTGGGGGTGCCTGAGAGGACTTCCTCCCTCAAGTCAACCCGATCACATACATGAGAACTACACTTACTTGGCTCTGAGTCTTCTGACGACGAGTCACCTTCCGGACCATCTTGAAGCTGATTCAAGTTAACGAATCGACCGTTCTTCAGAACCAGTTTGATCGGTTCCCTCGATGGTTCTTGCTCTTCTCCTTCCGGTATGTGATCCAACCCTGCTTCATCAACTCCCCTTCCGCTGTCTTCTCCTCTCTCACTCCCACCATTGCTGACGTCCGATTTGTGTCCCTCGATCTCTTCGTGAAAGGAAGTGTCGTTATCGATTAGGATACCCCCCTGGTCTCCGGGATCACCCGTCTGATTCGCTCCTTCTGCTACCTTAGAGGAGGACCTAGTAGCCCTCTGTGTCGACGTTGTTGTTGTGGATTTTTGTTTCACCATTTCTTCCTTTTTTGTATTGATGACTGCTAAAGTCTTATGCCAAGAATTGTATAACGAGAGTGAGGAATTTTGCGCTGAATTTTGACTCTAGACTGAAACTAGTAGTTTCCAAGACCTTTTGAGAAAAATTAGAGGGGATGAGAAAGGAATGCAGAGCCGACTAAATCCTCAGAGAGTGAATGAAGAAGAAAGCGTGGGAGAGAAAATTTTTCCCGGCTTTCTTCTAAACTCCATTACTAGACGATATTCTTGCTGGGCACCCGTGCGTGCCCTGTCGCAAGAGTGCGGCTCCGCTACTCACCCCTCCCGCCCATATAAATGGACTCCAGTGTACCGTCTCAGGCTTTGGGAACACTGGTAATTGCCGATATCAACTTGCGCTTACGAACCTCGATTTCGGATGTTTTGATTTATCAATGGAAACACCTTTTCCTTCTCACCAACCGTGTCATCAAGGATCCGGCCACTTATGACCCCATCGGCCGACCACATGCTTTGTCTAACGAGAATCTGGCCATCCTCTACGACCTCGTGACTGGTCGCCCCTCAATCTATCTGGATGAGTTGCAATCCGAACTCAGGGAATTGACTGCTTTGGACGTCTCTTGTGCCACTATTACTCGTGAAATTCACAACCGTTTAGGAATGTCTCTCTTGGTCACTTGAGGGGTTCATCCGGATCAGTCCCTGGAAGCAAGAACTGACTTTATGTTTCGGGTGGCTGGAATACCCCCGGAATGCTTTGTGTTTATTGGTGTGTCATCCATTTACTCGGTTTTCTGTCTACAATGTGATTACTAACCCCTGCTTTGACTTTCAGATGAAAGCGGGGTAGTGGGACGCGACGCTTCTCAAAAACGAAGTTACGCTAAGCGTGGATCTCACACCGTGCGTGAAAAGCGACCCACCGAGCGCTCACATTTGACTTTACTGCCGGCTGTCAGCGAGCAGGGAATGATCGCTGGTACTGTCATTGAAGGGCCGGTCCGCAGGATCGATGTGGAGCTCTTCCTCAACAATGAGTTGGTAAGCTGCCTGCACATGTCTATGCAATTGTTTGAGAATGTGGCCTGACTTATCTTGGCTCCCTCTGGTTAATAGCTTCCCATTATGAACCCTTATCCCGCTCGTAACTCAGTGTTGATCATGGACAACGCTCGAGTTCATCACGGTGGACGCATCCTCGAGCTTTGTCGACGCGCCGGAATCCTGGTCATCTACCTACCGGCTTATTCCCCTGATATGAATCCTATCGAAATCGGGTTTCACTGTACGAAGGCCCGCTTGAAACGTGAACAGCAATGGTATTTTGAAGACGATAAGCCTGAATACTTACTTTTACTAGCGGCTCGGGTCATGACTAGGTCCTTACTGCAACCACTCATTGCACACAGTGGCTACACTAATCGGCATTATTGGACCAGGTACAATGCTCGATTTGAGGAGGAAGAGTAGGATAGGATTCGGTTTTGGCCCTATCACCCCACGTACTGAAATTGTCCCTACTTCAAAATTCATATAGCTCGAGATTTCTTTATATTCTCTCAAAACTTGATATGTCATTCCTGGTTTTAGTCACTCAAAGTTTTCGTCCTCATGACTTGATTTACGTAGTTTTCTATACTATCATGATGTTGTGTGATCCCTTCAATGAATTAGTCCAACGTGTGTTTCCTCAAATAGGGTTTTAGCTTGTTTACTTTTCTAACAAATGTGTTTTCAAAAGGGCTTTCGGTGCCGTGAAAAATGTTCAGTGCTCAAAGTAATTAGAAGATTGTTGTCTCATAACTTCGCGGTTCACCTATGTCCAGTTCAGGATTCTGAGCTGGACAAAAAAAGTCCTATTGATAGGACTTTTTTTGCCGAGTCCAAGTTGAGGTCAGATCACTTCCACTCTGATTTCCTCAGAGTGGAAGTTAACACTTTCGATCTTCAGAAAAATGCAAGCACCGTTGCTTATAAAAACGTTTGTGTGTCGGAGACTCATGGCCTTCGATGAGTCTCCTATTTACAAGGCCTTCGAAAGTCTTTCAATATGAAAACTTTTGATGGTAAGAGTTTTATAAAGGATCAGACCTTATAAAACTCTTCGCGTGAGAGTCGTGTATCATTGACTCTCGGATGTGAGTCAAGAATGAACTCCCGATGCTCTCATTTGTTGCGGTCATCGGCATGTTACCAAACACTTTACCAAGTAATGGGTACTGTCTCATAGGTTCAAATTAAGACAAACAAATCATACTTTCAATTACCAAAGAAACAAAAACCGGGAATTGGTACGCTCACAAAACTAGAACTGCACAAGTAGTTAGTTGTAGAGATGATTAAAACGCTTTTGGGGTTGGGGAAGATAACGATACGATTTTTGTAAAACAAATAAAGATATAAGTCTAAAACAGGTACCAATCTCTTAAATACTTGAGGAGACACGTATCGAACTTTATCTGAGTGGAAGAGGATGAGGACAATACAGTCTTTTGAAAACAATGAAAACGAAGACTCAAACAAATAATGATCGAGGTTAGACACGTATTGATTTTTTATTGTAGATGATGAAAGAATCATTTGTTTTTCTTTGTCACTACTTGAACTTCACAGTCATTGTCACTGTCGGACACAACCACCACAGCAGCACTTCGGAGCCTGTGTTCTTCCAAATTGACGAGATGGACATAGTACCGACGCGCGCTGGCCATCAATCTGAGCCCGGTTCTGAATCGAATACTCCAGTGTTCCATGTCGCGCGCGTTGAAAGCTTGAGGGAATAGAAAAACAAAGAAATTCTCAATGTTGTTTTCTTCAAAGATCTCAGTAAGCGTCTCGACTTCGTTGGCTGGCACTTCAGCAAAGGCAAAGAAACCGGCTAGGGTGGACAAATGAGCAAGTCGTTGGGCTTCGTGGATATCGACCTCGATGTGCATGCCCTGCATCTCGGCGTAACCCCAGGTGGCCGGAGGCGCTTCGGTGTTGGAGGTGGCTGTCTTGGCTCGCTTCGCAGAAAAGACAGGCATGGTTTGAACCAGGGATCGTTTGATGCTGTGCCATTTGAAACCAGGGACATCCTTAGGGGGGTGGTCCAAAGTGACTCCGGTGGTTCCCGAGGCCCGGACCCGAAATAAAACATGAACGGAAATGATTAACGAAAAGAAAAAGGACAGAATGAGAGTCCAAGGTATGAGACAATGCCAAAACAAAGCTTACCAGTAACTTAGCCCACTCGATCATATGATCAAATGATAAATCCATGATCAACTTGTTGTCATCCACGTTGACTATGCGATAACCTTGACCAGCACTGTTGCCTTTCTTCTCGTGGTGACGAACTAACTCGTTCAACACCAGTTTGCGTTTGGGGACGGGGTCCGAGTGCGCGAGTTCGTCCGCAGGGGTGAGTCGACCTTTGTGAACGGTATTCGAGGCTTCCAAAACGGCATGGGCTAGAGACCGTTCCTAAATATAAAGGCAAACAGACAAAGTAAACCAAACTAAGTTAGCAAAATTGTGTTAATATAAAACAAACAAATTCACTTACACCAGCCACGATTTGGGCTGCCTTTGCTGGATGTTCCATCGAGACAACAATACCCGATTCTTGAGTAGGGTTATCGCCAACCACTTTAAAAAAAGCTTTGAGATGATCATCGACTGTGACCATGTTCTTGCCCAATTTACCTTTGCCATAGGTCCCGTGGTTGAAAACATAGACACCAAATGACAGTTGCTTGTTGGCGTTGGCGGTTTGAAATAAAGCACTCATACCGCCCGCGGTATCATTGCGGATCTTGTCGGCAGTGGCCCATAAGAACGTTTTAAATTGCGCGAATGAATGATTCGAGATGTCAAATTGTTGCTTCGTCACAGGAAACTTTTGAAGCACCCATTTCCGTTTATGGTTGGCCTTGATGGGTCCAGTAGTGGCCTCAGGGGTATATAACCCTAAAGTCACAGTAAGATCATGAAGCTTCTGTGACACGGCTTCAGACCAAGCCAGTAGAAAGAGGTGTCAGCACAGCCTAAAGAAAGAACGAACCCTAGACATTCACTTACCTGAATCTTTCTCGGTCTTTGGCAAAGGATCTAAAAGAAAAATCATCGAAGTCAGCTCACGATCAAAATGAATCATTGAAAGATTACTTACCCGGTTCCTTTTCCGGAGACTCTTGCCGGAAATCAAACACCACGGACGATTCCCGAGAGCCTATACCAGATGTGGTATCGCTGGTGTTGACGTTGAGACCCAACAGATTGCCAAAATCGAGCGGTGCAAGTAAGTGTTCTCGCTCTTGCCTGGCGGCATCCACATTTTCCGTGTGGTTGGGTGGCACGCTACGAGATTCGGTGCTGAAACGGAAACAAAGCTTCATCAGTCACTATTGCGGTTCGAACACTGATTAAAGGGACTGACGCGTGGTTGTTATGGTTATTAGACGAAGTTTGAGAACCAGGAGATTGACTGGCAGACATAGATGTGCGAGCAGGAGTAGGAGCCATTTTTAGAATGGGAATAAATGTCGAACGATTTGAGGCTTTTAGAAAGTGATCGAAATGAAAAACGGAACGATTTGACGCTGAAAACAGGGATGATATGAATAGATTGACAGTTTTGGGAGAAAGACTGAATGAGGTTTCTGAAGGAAGGATTGAAACGTGATTGTCGCCGGGGTCAAATAGGGGAAGGCCATCCCAAGCCTGGGCTATCACGGTTCTTCTCATCTGGAATCGGAAATGTCGTAAGATGGGATAGTGGTGAATATCATGAAGGTTGTTGAGGATTTGCAGGTTAGTACGAGTCGCAGTCCGCAAATCGTCGAACGAGACGGGTTAGTTGACAGCCCGGCCAGTTGATTTTTGGTCGGTGCTGCGCCCCGCACGGGCCAGCTTAGGATTTTTTTGATGACTCTGATTTCAAGCCTTTTGAAATTCAGTGTAATCCGAAATGATCGAAGTATCAGCAAATGAGATGCAGTCAGCGGAGGAGGCTCTGCTCATTCAGACCTAGAAAGAGGATATGTGCTTGTATTTACAGTCGCAAGAAGTTCTTGAGGGTCTGCTGAGAGCTTTCTGTCTTTTTGACTGGTTTTTATCTTAAGGTCATCTCGACTCAGTTTTCTGAACATGATGGACGATGTATGCGCGGTTTTCAAGCAAGAAGAAGTAGATACATACCCAGAAAAGGCGAACTCTCATTTTTTTCTATTTTGAGATTCCTTGAGACTGCTTGAGATTGATATCGTTCAATCAGGCATCCTTGATGACCAACATTGGACAATAATCAAGCGATAAACAAAATAAACATTGGAGGATACTCTCCAGATATAAGCTGAGGTAAACTTTCCGCAAGGATTTGAGAATGCAAAATGAGAGCTTGACTTGCGGCGCTACTGGTGCCTAAACGCACCGCTTCCCAACAACTTAACACAACTTGTCTTGAGATCGCCTCGTTACCCAATCATGGACAGGCTATCAGATCATTCGTTCATCCTTCCTAACAGGGGTTGGCTCCCATCCGACATTGTGTCTCAAATTATTGAAGAATTTGTTTTAGACTTGAGATTCTTTGGATATGATCGATGTCTTGACCATGAATCAGTCTCCGAACTCCTCCGACTTCGTTTAGTTTCCAAAACTTGGTCAGAAGCTATAATACCATTCGCATTTCATACTGTGCAGCTTCATACGTCAAAAGGAATTCAACTCATCATCGACAACTGGTCAAAGATTCAGGCTCCGGATCTTCCATGCCCAGTAAAACGTCTTATGATTCAAGACCAGGTTTACCTGAGACCTAACGGTGAGAAAAGTTCGAAGAAAGGTGATTTCTCGTATCATAACAAGGATCAGTTTCTGAATGACTGACATTCATCGCCAATCTATAGATTGGGAAAGGCGATGTCCTATATCTTTGGATCAAGCGGCAATACTAATCGAGTTGATCGGTGGAAACTTAAACGAGTTGACATTGTTGTTTAGTGGTTCTTTTGGTATCTCTCAAAGCTTAGTCAAGGCTATAAGCCACATCAAACATTTAAAAAAGTTAAACCTACAAGACGACGAGGACACTGCAACACGAAAAGATTACGATCCACTATTGCTATCCAATCTCTTTGATGCTATTCCCAAACTCGAAGCATTCACTCTGAAATATGTTCATGCAATTATATCTGAGGTGAAACCACTAGTCTTATCGACCTTGAAATATTTCAACTTTAAATACTTTGATGGTAACCGCGATGCTATCGCTCACATCTGTCAAGCTGCGAAAGAAAGCATGAGAATAATTGAATATCGCGGAGAGATCCAAGAGCCCGAACTGGTCTTTGGTCCAATCGCGAACACACTTGAAGGTCTTTTTACGTTCTCACTTACCGATGATATCACACAGTCTACCATCGATCTGAAGCTCCCAAAACTTCGTCTCTTGCGCACTCGGTTTGGTCAGGAAGCCGATGATTATGGAATGTATGAGAATCCTATACTGTTCCTGAAGTGGCCAATCTTTCATACCATCCGAACGCTGGTTTTGGACATCGATGAAGGACCATATCATCTAGAGGAACACTTACAACACATGGGTCGAGATCCTTTTCGTAAGACACCTAATTTGAAACATGTTATCTTCATCATGAGCGAAGGGTATAAATCCTGCCCGGTAGTCCCTTCGAAACTAGTCAAAGATCTCAAGTCGCATGGAATTGATTGTCATAGCAAACCCGAATCAAATCCTGAGGAACTAATGGTACGTGTAAATTGAATATTCACATGTACTTGGGTCATTTAAATTAATAGATTCTTGTCACCAGGAACTCGACTTGAAGCTCAATGGAGCAGTGATCCGTTCGTCATAAGAATCTCGAAAACTTAATGATCTTGGTCTCCTTGAATGGTCATTTGGAGATAAAAAAAGGGAATGACAAGGAAGACAACATGGATTTTGATTGTTTGTTAAGATTATCTCGAACTCCTGAGATTGGTGGAGGTGAATTGAAATCAATACCAAAGTTCGAAAAATTAAAAACATCATCAAATCTCTTGCTTGATCTTGATGACTCGAATTTGGGAAACATCTGAAGCTGAAAGATCCCTTCGATGTATTTAAGAATCTTGATATACATATGTAGCTTGATATGGAAGAAAATTTGATATCATTACCAAAATCTCCCACCCCATAAACGGAGATCGGCCACATCTCCTTCCGATGTCGCAAAGAATGATATTGGTCCAATATCATGATTTTTGTTATGAGTTCAATTGCTATGACACACTACGTTAATGTACATAAATCAGTAAAGGAAAAAACAACATCTTCTAAGACTATAAGCTAAGATTGAAATACAACATCAATTTCTATAACTCTTTTTCCTCCTCTTGTCTTCAATAATGTTTCAAATATGTTTGATCACAAGAAATGAATCTAAAATGAAAACAAAATGAAAACAAAATTTGATGAAATGAAAATACCTCCATACCTATCTATCGTTTCTGCTAAAAATTATGTTTTCTCTTTCTTAACTCGCATATCAACCCCTGTACATCGAGAGCCCACCTCGATGAACAGTGAGATGTACTCCTACCCGGGTGCCAAACCGAGTGATATTTTATCATGCTATAAGTTGGTTTGGTCAAGTACATATTTGGTTCTCCTCTTTCCGTCCATTTGCAGCCACACAGACTCACACAGAGCCACACTTGCGATCAGCTTTCCGAAGAATATTCCAAATCCTGGAGAACGCGCAAGTTACGTCATGAACAGTACATTTGTCTTTTTGCTCCCTCTCGTGAGAGACAATGGTGAAGCACTCTTGAGTCTTTGGTCATGTTATAACAATTGCACTTTAAGAAAACAAACATTCTAATGAGCTTTAATGGGCTCCTCCACAGGAGTCCACAGGGTTGGAAAGCAACTAACTTAACAAAGTCCCTCGATGCTGCGACAGCTGTCATTCAAGCAAGTTGAATCCGCATGTCGCAGCATGAGGGACTTACACCTAATGTCTGCTTTTCGGCCTGAGGGCTAAGAATATTGTTGCGGGTGGAATCTTATTTATCCCTTCAATGTGTGCACACCGAGGAACATCGACCCTCCTTGGAATCAGACATGCGGGAGGTCTGGCTACACATCGTACAAGTCGAACCATCACCCTCCACCATTTACTTCTCGAAATATTCAACAAGGAATTGGTGTTGTCTTTATATGTAGCTACATTAAGTCAGGGGACTTATTCCCATTGCAGAGCTAGCAAGCTTATTTTGGCGGATGACAGCATTAGGTATCCCACTCCCTCGGCTCAGCAACTCTTCCCACTTCCTCCACGTGCGGGATAGGGTTATGGCTTTACAAAAATCATTACTAAAGACATTTTCAACTCATTTCCCAAATATCTCGAGAAGGAATGGGCGGATGTCGATGATTCGACTTGTACAATGTGTAGCCAGACCTCCCGCATGTCCTATTCCAAGGAGGGTCGATGTTCCTCGGTGTGCTCACAGAAAAGGGATAAATAAGATTTCTCCCGCAAAGATTTTCTTAGCCCTCAGGCCAAAAAGCGGACATTAGGCGTAAGTCCCTCCGGTGCAGACATTCCTGATTCAACTTGTTGATTGACAGGGTGTCAAGCCTCGGAGGGACTTTGTTAAGTTAGGGAAAGCAACCAATTCTAATGTCTAGCTGGACAGAGCTGGACGCTTTGAAATAGGATGACACGACTTTTGTTTGACATCTCTGAATCAGGCTCCTTTCCCATACTAGATATGTCAATCAAGTCTTACAATTCAAAAACTCATGACTGTGTGTACTATATTACTAAGACAAAATGAAAAAGTGATACCCAGTTGCTTCAAAAGTTGATACATATATAGTACCAAAAGATCTGTTCCTAACAGCGCTCTGAGTGATATCATTCGCCCTCTTGAAAAGCAAAAAGCCCGTGTGACTCAGATCTTTTTGTATCTTGTACCTCAAGTTATCTCGCCTTCCAATCGTCAAGTTCAGACATAATGTCTGCTGAATACCCCATTTATGACCCGGTTCGTCTTTGACTTTTAGTTTCAACTTTTGGAGGATGTTCTGTTCTATGCGTGCAGAATCCCTGTCAACCCAGCTGCTGACTCTCGAAAGGTGTTTCAGCGTAATGGATCGCACGAGGCTTTCCGTCGAAAGGTGCTTAGAAAAATCGACCTGCGCACAATTCCTTGTGTTATGTTACTATACCTCGCGTGCTTCGGTAAGCCCTGATTAACAATTTAGAGCCTCAGGCTCCAGCTCGAACACATATAATCCTTAAGCTCTGTTGCTTGGTCTAATTCCCGCATATCTACTCTTTCATTGCCATCGTATGGCTGGGTCTTCAAGTTGACAGATCAAACATTGGAAATGCCAAAGTCAGTATCCTCGTACTTGAGATGAAGGCATACTTCCATTCCTAGTCTCAGAAGAGGAGAGATACTGATACCGAGTGCTGGAAATTCAGGTTGCTGGCTTAGAAAGGGATCTTCACCTGAAAGGCATCCAATTCAACATCGCCCTCAGCGCATTGTAGGCTTGCTTTTTTGTGTTTCAAAAGGTCTTGCAATCTTACAGCGCGCCTTCTGATTCTTACCTTGGTAAAACAGTACAATTACTTACGTCATCGTCAAAATTCCATCAAATCATATTTTGCGCAAAGTGGGGGCTAAGGTAACTTTATGAGAATTGAGCGCGAGAATCTATAGGCTTTAGATACTGATTGACTTATTAAAACAGATTTGGTTGCCGTTTTTGGTTTTTTGTTGGGGTAGGTTATCTTATCACTGAGCAGGCCAATCAATCCATGCACTCCATGTCGCTGAATAGCAACTCATCGATCTTTGGCCAAAGTCTGACCATGATTTCTTCGTGTTTTTATTCCGGTTCAAAGGTGTGGTCACAGTCTTTTCGGCGTTCATGTCGAACTACGCGTCTTTGCTTGCCGTGAGAGCTGTGTTAGGTAGGCCCTTGAAATTTTGTCTTTCGGTTCAAAACGGTTCTCCAACTGATCTGCTACTATGCATGGATCAATTCTTTTGATAGGGCTTTGTGAGGGTGGTTTGCAGCCTGGGGTTATATTGTACCTATCGTCACTCTACAGGCCTGAAGAGCTGCAGCTTCGAGTGGGACTATCTTTTTGTAGCACAGCCTTGAGTCACATCTTGGGTGGATTCCTAGCGTTCGCAATTCATCGTAGAATGGATGGGTTTGCTGGAAAGGCTGCTTGGTCGTAAGTACTTGAGAAAATGGTATTCCATATCTTCATATTAGTCGAATGAAACTGATTATCCCCTCAAATGACAGCTGGATCTTCATCATTGGTGCGATTGTTTTTTTCTTCTTCTATAAGTCACATACGCGGCCTGACGAGACATTTTTTTAACCTGAAGAGGGTACCTTAACTATCTTTGTTGCTGTCGTCGTCTGGTTCTTTCTATGCTCAAGTATCGAGACCGCTCCTTACTTGACCCCAAGCGAGCGCGAATTCGCAGGTTTGTCTGATCTTGGAAGTGAAAATTGAAGCGTGACGACATTTTCGATCTTAATTTCTGTGCTGTTGTTTTTTCATCTCTTCGCCCCTTCGCTGTCTTAACCTTATAGTTCAGAGGCTGAAAGGATCCAAACAGCTCGATGACACGAGAAACAAGCTTGAATCAGAAAAAGGGGAGCCTGAAGATAAAACAGCCGAAACGCTGCCTTCTCTTGACAACGAAAGAAATACTCTTCATTCGGATGAATTCGAGTGGTTCGAATGTAGAAGGGCATTTTTGGATCCACAAGTTTGGCTGATCGGTCTCAGTGAATCAGCTATTTCCATTCCGCTGGCAGCGTTATCTTTCTTCCTGTAAGTCTTGTGGGTCATTGATATCAGCAGGTTTGTAAAGTTGCTTATTTACTGGATTACACCCATCCTATCACAGACCAACGTGTATGTCGTGTGGTTCCATGCGTGATATGCGCCCCGCGCGAGCTTTTGGACTGATTAGGACTGAATCCTTTCCCGACACGCACTGACAGTGGTCAGCGGGATGGGGCATACCGGAGCCGCCGCACAGCTCTTCTCTGCATTGCCGTACATTCCCGCCTTGGTGACGGTAATAGCGTCTGCTTTACTAGCAGACAGATGGAGAATACGCGGACCCATCGTACTCGCATGCGTGCCTGTAGGCATCATTGGATGTAAGCACCTGTTTTGTTTCTACTTCGACTGAGGAACAAAGGTGTATTTTTCCTAAGATGACGCTTACATGCATGGTTGGATTTTAAAGACTTGATGTTGATCTTTTCAAAGAGCGCCGGAACCCGTTACGCAGCATTTTTTTTCGTCGTGTCCGGATTATACCCTGTCATACCCTGTCTTGTGTGTATCATTCCAATCAATACTTCTGGTGTCGTGAAACGGGCAACGTGTGTTGGAATCCAGGGAATGGTCAGTCTTGAACGCTTCGCAGTTCAATGTGACCTTTGCGATGAGCTGATCATATCATCTCTCACTGTAGATTCAGGGCTTATCTATCTTGATAGCACCTTTCATATACATAAAGGGTGAGCCCGAGGTGAAAGGCCATAAGATCGCGCTTGGGCTCGCCTGTGGTGCTTGGGCTCTGACGGCAGCCAATGTGTTGTACTGCCACTTTGAAAACTCAAGAAAAGCTAGCGGCCGAAGAGATCATTTGGCGGCACAATACCTCGAGCAGTTTCGCGCAGGGAAGACTCGTGCTCCAATCGGGGACCGAAGTCCAAATTTTTACTTTACACTTTGAACCGTGTTGAATTTTTCGAAGGCTGAGGACAGATTTCAAGCTCATCAGGGTACGGGATTCACAATGGTGGGATGGCCATACGACATTGGATACAGAAGAGTTGCAACGTGATTTGGAGTGATAAAGACGAGGATTCAATGTTCAACTTATACGTGATCCAATACAATCAGTTATATGTACGTACAAAGCAGTAAAGAACATTTTTAGCATAAGAGCATGTTGTTGTATTATATAATCTGTAGTAGTCATAGTATAGTATTTCACTTGGTAAAAAGATTGCTCATGTGTGTTATATTCTTGAGACATTTTTATATTCTTTGTGTGATGACAAATGCATCCAACATGGTGCAATGAATTTTGACGTAAGGATGTGGTACTATAGCATCTCGTGCTGCATCTTTTTTTGTGCTTGAATTGCAAAATGACATTGATATCTATAGTGAGTGTACTGTACCATCAGTACATTATGGTGTCAATGTAGGATATAGAATATTGGATTGGATTTGTAATGCTCTCAACACATCTTCTACCAAATCCAACCTCAAAAGCAATGAAGGCAAGGCTGTTTTGCAATGACTCACCACACTACATAGCATCCATGTTCTCAATTGAGTCAGCTCCTTCCAAACTCCCCACAGCAATAGTAAACCCACAAATGTGTAATAGTCATTTCTGCAAAATCACAAATCCATTGTTGGGTAGCATTATGTCAAAAGTTGAACACTTTCCCGATTGGAAAACAATCAAATAGCCACATACTGTCTCAGCAATCCAGTTATGAGAGGAACGCTACACTCATTAAATCGGGTTGCTTTCCAAAGTATCATATCTGAACAAGTATTTATGCTGATTGTCCATATTGAGCCAATCCATTATGCTAGATGTCACTTCACACCAATCAATATGGTTCCCCTCCCTCTATTGAAAATTTATGGTGATCAAGAAATTGGCTCAAAGGTGTCCCTTTACCTCAAAAGGGGAATTTTGTTCAAGGTGTGCCTGCATATTGATTTTTGGGCAATATATTAGTGGGCTTCAAGTTGGCCAGGAAGTGCCTTATAATCTACTATTGTGCCAAACGCGGAAAGTCATCTGATACAAATTGGAGTACATGGCGAGCTGCCACCCCCAAATTTCGAATATCATACCTAAGAGTCGACAATGACAGTACTATCAAACACACACCCGCAAATGGAAACTCCATAGCTCAAAAAGGTAAATCAGTTGATTAAATGCACCAGGGGTTCCAAAAAATTGATTACATCCACTTGAATTTCCAATAGACTACAAATCAAAGATAATTCAAGAAGAAAACAAATAGAAAATGAATTAAGAGATACTCTCAAGATGTTAGATAAAAGTGAAAAGATCCAGAAAAGAATCATCAATTCTAGTGAAATGAAAGGAAGATATTAATATAGAAAAAAACAGATTAAAAATGTGTATAGTTTATTCAGAAATCGGTTTATAGCTTAATAACAATCGTTTTTTGAATTCATTTTGATTATCCCATAATTCAGCAGCTTCTACATTTAAGGGTGATTCATTATTAGGTTCTATAGGTCAAAAAAAGTTGATTAATTGGAGGAAGTCTGAAAAAGGCAATTGTATACAAGGCTGAAGAGAAAGAACTTACCACCAAAAAGAGATTGAATTGAAATTAAAATGGTTTGAACAGATAATACAGCTGACCATTTCTCTTTCAAAATATCAAGACAAATATTCCCATGAAGATCAACATTTGGATCTAAACCGAAAAGGGAAATATTAGTATTTTGAGGAAATTTGAAACGGATTCTTTTTTTAGAAGAAGACAAAAACTTACGATAACAGGGTGATTCGAATTTAACAATAGGTGGAACAAAAGGATAATTTGAGGGAAAAGAAAGTGAGATTTTAAATTTCAATGAATCATAGACCTATAAACCCAAAAAATTGTAAAATCAAGATCATTTCAACGGTACAAATCAGATGGTTTAGAGATAAAGAAACTTACTGTATCAGATGGCCCTACAATGGTACCAGTCCATTTGGTCAAATCACCACCAACTGGAAAAGCTGAAATTCCAGTAGAAGCAGACATCTAAAGAAAAAAATTCTGGTAAGTTTCAAGCGAGAAAGTAAATCCGAAATGTTTAAAAGATAAAGTGTACCATAAGAGTCATAAGTTCAGATGAAAGTCTATAAAAGAACAAAGGAAAAACAAAAGATCAGTCTCTTTTTCTCGCAAAGATGATAAGAAAGTCATCATTAAGGATGATTTTTTTTTGAGAAACTAACCTTTTTGTAACATTTGAATTAAGTGAGATTGGTGTAGAATTTTGATTATTCTTTGGTTCAGTTTGTGAGATTGAATTACTGTTTGAAGATGAAGCCATGATTGAAGTTTGATTGGATGTAAAGTTGAAAGTAAGACTGGTGTTGGTGAGTTGTGCTGAGTTGGTGGTGTGTTGTCGGTGAATTGTTGAGTGGTGAATCGGATTCGGTTGTTATTGTTTCGGCTGTCACATACAGGACAGTAGAGTTTAAATGAATTTCTACTGAAACGGCCATCTGGGTACAAGCATACCTAAGCCTGAAGAATATACGTATACTGAATACCATACTCGCCGTTCTGATCCGTTCAATCGAATCGCAATCCATCTCATTCTCAATCGCATTTCACCTCAGCCTAGAACTGTCTCAATCCATATCAAACGAAAAGTCTCAATCCAGCTTAATCATAATCAATAGAACAAAATGAACCCCTCAATGATGTAAGCTTATATTCAAACCCAACAAATCCATCACAATACAATTAATTCTAATGAACCTGAATTCCATTCCCAACCGAACCATCAGGAAACCCAAGTACTCTCCAGTAATCAAACCAAGACCTCATCTGATGGGTATCACGTCACAAACCGTATCTAAATGGATTCCAACTTTAGGAGTAAGTCTCTCCGTAAACCTATATTAGTCTTATTCACTCATTTGTTGACGTTTTTTTTCCTTTTGTTCAGCTTTGGGGTGCAGGTGTAGGTTGTGCTGTGACTCTTTTTGCATCTGCAATGTAAGTTTCGACTTGGTGTTCAAATCGATTGTCAAAACTTACGACCTCAATGACTTGAAAATTTGATTTTGTTTAGTCCTAGATTTCAAAATGACGTATTGAAGAACATTCCAGGAGTACGTTTGGTTTTTCTTCCAACTGGTTTTGATCAATTTAGATTCCAAACAGCTGATTTATTTTTGTATCATGTTGAAAACTTTTAGGTGGCTGGTTATTATGAATCTAAAATTCCAGAATGTGATAAACCATTCTAGGAAACTCAATCTTTTTTCATTCTCATTACATTTTTCTTTCTTGATATATAAATCTTCTTTTGTTTTCAAAGAGGGGAGACCTTTTTTAGTTTGAAATTCTTACAGAATTTTTGAAAACAAAAAGGAAAATACTCGATAGACATAGATAGACATCATAAAACTTGCCATTCTTTTGGAGATCATGATCTGAGTTTTAGTTTAAACTGATACTCTTGTTTTTGCATAAAAAGCAAGACCTTGAAAGCTGTCCAATCTTTCCTCTTGGTCAAGGCGTGTAAGTAATCGGCAGACCTAAACCAAGAAACTGATTTGTAGATATGTATGATGTTTGGTTGATAACCTAAACACGAATCGAGTCTATTGATTCACATCATTCAGTTTACCACTCATTCCCAAGCGATTTGGAGGGGTCAAGTCATTTTTTTCTACCGTTTTGACCGTGTACCAACTTGTCCGAATTCTAAAGATTTGTGGTCAACTTTATACACAAACAGGACGCCCTCTTGGGCCTTCAAGGACAACTGGATTTCTTATGAGCCATAAATTTACGAAAGGAAAACCTGTTGACCACATCCCCCCCAAGCAATCAACTACCTCAACTGGTATGTAGCTGTAAAAAAATACCGTCTCGTAGAGATTTAGCTGTGAATGTTTTGACCTGAGTCCTCCTATTGGCCAAAGTCAATTAAACTTCCTTCGCAATTCTCCAGAATGAAGTTCATTGGTTTTCTTTGCATTGATTGACTAGCAAATGTTTTATCTTAAAAAGATTCATCGCTAGTGTTTTAATTTGTATCAAATTAAGTGAGTGACATTTCCCCTCATCATTAGGGTATATCAAAAAGTCCAACAAACGTGCAGAGACAAATAAATAACAACAGTTCATCTCAAGAATTGGCGTGGTTCTGCGTGTTACACTTATCTTGAGGACATTCTAGATACCATACCCAACATGATCAAGTTTGATCCATAGAAACCATTAGTCAGTCAATGAGTGAATATGTATTATATGCTTAAGTGCGAATGAGTTAATTTCTAGCAGGTAAACTTACGTTGAAACACAACTTGAGTCGCGCAATGATACGTTCTCACAACATGATCCGGGTCCCGATGCAAGCACTCTTTTGATTATTCGAATTTTAGGAATTTAGAGCCAAATTTCAAAAAATTAGTCTTCAATCATTATACAATTGCGTATTAAAAAACCCTCTCTTCAAGTTTTCTTTGATCAATTACGGTACTCAAAACAATCAGGTTCGTGCCACCTTTTTCAAAAAATGTCAAAAACATAGATTCAAAGTTGACCTTTTGGCGGGGGAATTCCTGGGAATTCGCTGGAACTTTGTTTTTGGATTTTTCTACAGTTCATTTTCCCCACAAAAACGACATTTTGAAAGCAGGTTTTCAAGAAAGGTAGCACGAACCTGATTGTTTTGAGTACCGTAAACATCAAAACTCAATGAGATCTCCCAAAGATATCTAAAGGCAGTTTGATTTAGTCTGAGATGAAATATGGAAGTAGACTCAACCAATAGGTCTGTCCCCGTCACCTTGATAAATTGCGACATTACAAAGTACTTTTATCTTCGGGGCCATTAGAACTCCATTGGGGTCTACACAGTCAACAGCAGCTGTATGTGGCGATGACCCATCAAATCAGAAAGTTAAGCTCAATATTCACATTTTGCCATCGATTCTAGAACACAAGCAAACTTTTTCTCACCTGGTATCAGTCCATCATTCCTTCCACACCAATCACAATAATGGTAAACCGGGTCGGCATTTTTGGTATATGATTGACACACTTGGAGTATAATTTTTTTGAAGGAAGGAAGGTGTTTGAAATCTTGAATCAGTCCACAATGATCCCTCAAGATGATAAATCATTGATTGAATTTGAAGACGTGAAAGACTACAGGGGTGAAAGGAAGCGTTGGAGTTAGACCTACAATACTTCTTTTCCCCCGGCTTTGGTATGTTCCAACCGTAAGTGCAGTCGAAAGCATTGGCATCTACGAACATATGCGACCCGAGATTTCCGACGAGCAGAACAACGAGAAAAAGATTGAACATTTTCAGAAAATAAGTTTTTAAAGTCTTTTGCTAAAGTTAGCAACGAAGATAGAGCAAAGATCAGGCAAATTTAGCGAGTGAAAACAAATGTCATGGGATTCAGCTTGTCTCTTTGACAAAAGCGGCCTTATATAGCAAACCAATTTCAATGTCAAATATGGTTGTTCCGCCTGAAGCCTCGAACATAAAAATGTGGCCATTCATTCTTTGAATCTAGCCACCCGCTCGTGGTGATTGGAGAAATATAATTGTGACACGGGCTGGCCGATCCGTTCACTCCAAAGCTCTTCACGAGGTCAAATCAATCGTTCAAGATTCCCTTTTCAAAGCCTCGGAATAGGTGGCGCGAAGAACCTCACCGATTAGGGTTCGGTTCACCTCGTGGCTCGTGCTCAAGTGAGAGTTGTACTCAGTGGCATAATGCATTCATCCACTTGAATTATGAACTATCCAAGCTTAAGGAGAACAGCGACCCTAGATCTCTGTGACTGCCAAGAACTTAAGGCTTGGAAACCGTAGATGATTTTGCTATTTAAACAACATGTAGCAACTTCCATAATGGACGCCGGGCACTCGAGGAGTCACTGAAGCCTCGGAGTCTTCTCCTCTTTCAGCTCTCAAAAACTTTATTTTACACAAACCTGCCGCCTTTGAGGCAATCCCAGCTTACCACAATGGCAAAAAAACCTCTGCCTCAAGAAGAATCGCCTGAAGTCTTGGATCAAATAAGTTGATGCTTGGACCTGTGTTAAGCTAGCGAGCGCGAGAAATGAGTCTGTCAAGGAATTGACTGTCAACACATCATACCAACCGACGATTACTTGCAAATTGCAACATACCAAACGTTGCTACGAAGCGACCCATGACTTCATACATACAGATTCAAAAAATCGTTGTAATCCGTGAGCATCAATGAGAATTGTGATAAGATTACTTTGTGGAATGATCTATAGAACATACACGTATAAAGAAAGACCTAACAAATATCTGGATTGCTAAAAAATGCGTCTTATGTTCCCTTGCAATAACGATTAACCGGTCCTCACCCTTTGTAGTGTGAATATACATATATTCGTGTGATCATATGAACAGAAGGCTGTTACATACTGAAGATCATGTTCTAACCCACAACAAGAGCCTTTTTCTACGTCTTTTTCTCAAGAAGTCGATTTGTTTGGGAGATGATTAATATTATAAAAATTAGCATAGCATTAGCACAAAAAGATTAGTACAAAGAATCAACACAACATTAGTATCAAGTAGTAAATCATTAGCACAACATTAGTATCAAGAAGTAAATCATTAGGATGGCATTAGTATCAAGTAATAAATCATTAGCACAACATTAGTACAAAAAAGTAATACAAGATGTTCAGAGAAAAAAAAACAAGAAAGTCAAAAAGAAAGGTTTCGAAAAAAACGCTTTCAAGCCTTACGAAACCTTTTATGTAAACTCCCTTTAAAACCTTGAGAAAGTTTTTTCCTCAACGAATTGATTCGAAGATTACTACCCGCCCCCGTCCCATTCCCCATTGCAGTCCCCGGTCCCGTAATAGTAGTAGTAGTAGAAGGATTATTTTGCCCCACATTATTAGAAGATAAAGATTGTAAAGAATCAGAAGGGTTTACCATAGACCAAACAGATCCGGTTTCATGTCGGTTTGAAGGATTTTTTAAAATCGAAAACCTTTCAATTGGTGAAACCGATTTAGATTCTGAATTGAAATTCACTAAACTATTTTGGAAGGTCATTTGTAATCTTTGTTGAGCTTGAGTTTGAGTTACAGTTGCAGGTTGTGATTGATTTAAAGATGAATTTAATGAATAGAAACTACTGATTGAGTTTGATCCAGTAGATTGGCTTAAGGTTGGAGTGTTTTCTTCTTTTGGTTGATTTTCATTCTATCATTGTTCAAAAAGAAACAAAGAAAAAAAATTAGTATTGATTTTGTTGAAAAAGGATTGCGATAGAATCATGGGATTTACCTTTTGTGAACTTTGATCAGGTTTTTTCGAAGATTCACTAAAAGTTTCAGTAAAAGGATTAGGTGATAAAATCGAAAAAGGTTTCTAGAACAAGCAAATCATTAACAAATCATCCGAGAAAAAGAACTGATCAAAATCTTGTTTATAACGCACCGAATCAGTGGTTTGAGTTTTGACTTTGATTCCCAATGGTTTTGAATTCAATTGATTCAATGATCTTTTCACAGGTACTCTGCCAGTAGGTGAAAAGAGTCCTAATGGATCATCAACCTGATCGAGATTCATTCAGAAAAATTCAAAATCAGTCACAAAATTCATTCCATTCAGAAATCAAGAAAAGTTTGGCCAATGCCTAATTTGAAAATAAAACTGAAAAATCACTTACTTCATCGATTACCATTTGTTCTGAGTTTTGATTCTCCTTTTGATTGTGGTTCTGATTTCGATTTGAATTCAAACTCAAACCAGACTTAGAATGAGGCATGGTATGATTATAAAATGAAAGATTAGAAGAAAAAGTTTGATCACCCGAACCAAAATGATTCATCATAACCTCTTCTAAACTACTGATATTCATTCCTTTAGATCTCATTGTATTTTGTTGGGTGAATCTGGATTTCGAGTAATGATAGTGATGTTGTTTTGATGATGATTGGTATGGATGTTTGGATTGGTTTTGATATGATTTTGATTGACTTGTTCTTAATGAGATGTTTTGTTTATCTTTTTGATTTTTAGAATTCGAATTTAAATTTAAAAAATCTTGAAAGATATTAGATTTAGAATCAGAAATATTAGAATTCGAATCTAACGTATCTTTTGGTTGATAGTGATGAGGTGTTTTAAATTTAGATGGTTTTGATCTATGATGATGATTTAACTTTCTTTGAGTAAGAGCTGAAAATTGATTTAATTCAATTTTAGTATGAATCTTTAAATCAGGTGTAGTAATAATAATGGGAGTTCGAGGTTTTATATTGGATAAATCGGAAGTTGAAGAAATTCCAGAATGACTAAAAGTGGTGGTCAAACTTTCGATGATGCTACTTGCACGCCTTTTCAAACTTTTGCGTGGTGGTGTATCATGTTTCTTCAAATGATTAGGTGGTATCAAGTTATACATCGTCGTTGCGGTTGATCGTTGTTGTCAAGTCAGTTGATCTTTTCGAGAAATCTTCAAAATTGATCCTCGAGAAACGTTGTGAATTGGATTTCCAAAGTAGTTCGCTACCAGGGAACGATTTCTTGAATTTGGCGATTCGAAATCGAATTCAAGCTTGAAAAAAGTCTGATTTGAATTTGAAAGGATGAAGTCAGTAAGACGAGTGTGTAAATGAGTGTTGGATTGGAAATGTAGAAGATAAGCTTGGAAGGTTGAATCGGTTGGATAACTTGCTTCATCAAAAGAGCTTCTTTCCATGAGTTTAAATACTCTTGAGATTCAAAGTAAGCAGTGAAGCGAGTCAGCGAGACTGATTCTTCATTTCGATTTGAACTGTTCGAACATCATCACTTGAACTGGGAATGGCGCATATTTGACCGATTCTACAAGCCATTGAAGATAAATCACAAGTTAGACCAACAAGAAGTCCATCTTGAGATCAAACGATATCTTCCGTCAAAAGGTGTTAGTCGATTTCATAATTTGGTTTCCTTCTACACATATTCCATCTTTCTCAAAATTTAGATGAACTTCATATATCGATTGCAAATAGGATTAGTAACTGTTATTGAATTTGAAGTGATTCGGTTTGTGGGCGTAAGGGTCGCTTGAAACCCACGCCTTGAAGATACGCAAAACGGCATGAAGGCTTTGAAAATGCGGTTTGTGCCTATATGCATGTAGCCGGCTGGGGGCGGTAAAGAGTGGTAAACTGATACGGGTTCGATATTCGGACAGTACAAAAGGGCGGGAAGCGCAGACAGGGGCAGACAGGTGTTGATCATAAAGGGCGGAAACAATAAAAGATAAGAAAAGGCTTGAAAAAGATGAAGGACTGTGATGAATTGATGAGAATAGGTTTGGAAGCTTTGTGTGATCTGTGCTCAACTCGACATGAGATCCTGAGGTCTACCGTCTAACCTAAAGTCCCTCTCAGCAGAACGAGTAAAGTGACATCGACGCGGACAACCCGATAACCTCCCTCATAAAAATCCTTGTCGCAACCGTTCGGCGAAAGATACGGATCAGATCATGGATGTTCTGTCTTCCTTAAACGAACGGCGCCTTCCTTCAGAGTGTCATTACCATCATGTCAATTTTCATCGAGACAATTAAGGAACTCCGGGAAGAATCCGTAGCCTTGAACGGGATCGATCGAACGCCCCACCGTAATTTGAACGCATCGCCAGTAAACCACGCCTAGACTCAGTCCGTGATATTGCAGGACCAGGTTTCCCAGCAGGAATATGAACACTATGTTATGGTGTTCGTATTCTATCTCTTGAAGTCGACAAGTGATCTGAAGTTCAGATCAAACGGTCAACCCATACCGCCGCACTGTCTACTTGACAGATTCCAGATGGGCTCAAATTTGAGCGTACGATCCGAGACTCGGATAGCACTTCCGAAGCTTTTTGGACTGAGCTGGCCTCGGATCATGATGTCATTCACCGGCACCGATAAAGGAGGCCTTTTGTAAACACGCATCGCGGTCCACAGATATCGTTTCTTACTTCATCATTATTTATCATGAGGTTATCGATCTTATTACGCAGAAGTTTCACGGCATGACTGAGTTTCAATGCGGTTTATTATGTTTCTCCCCAGACATTCAATCGGAGAGCTCCAATCGCTGCCGAGTCAGATCTCAAGTTTTTGAGGAGCCGAGGGTATATTTGGGACCCTCGCATCGACAGCATCCTCAAAGTAGCTTTTGCGAAACGTCGGACGATTGTTTTCTCCAATTTGAGAATTTTTAATTTTTAATTATCGAGTACGGCCCCCTTCTGAAATCAAAAGAGGCTTGATGGCGGCGACTATACGAGGTTTCGCTTGGAATGTCATCGTTCGGGGGGTTCTCAGTGAATCAGATATGATCCCGAAGTGACTTCAATTAATGGTCTTCCGCCGGAATGATAACATGAATCAAGACTAGCTGGTTTACGGACTTGATTTCGTCAATTTCCTAAGACTCGCACAGTTCCAAAAGTACCAACCTTAATATACTATGTTATGTGGCAAAAGTCTTCCAACATCGTCTTAGGAGTCGCAATTGCTCGGAATAAAATGATCATCGAATTCTTCAAACTTTTTCATTGTCATTCGGATTCCTCATCTAAAGACATGGAATTTCCTGCACTCATATAGTTTCTTTTGATTATTGACATTATAAAGATATCATTCACAAGTGTTTGACCTGCGCATCTTTTTCAAACCTATATGTCATCCTCGATCATCCTTACACTCACCGTCACAGCAGTAAGATATATTTCAACTCTTTGAATTATATTCAGTTTCAGTTTCTTCAAGTTTTGAATGAAGATCAAGTCTTTCGGACAACTAACGTGTCTCCCGAACCTTTTTTTCTGACCATGGAACATGAACATTACTCTAGCCCGTTTTTCTCTTGATCAGTGGATACATTTTTGCAAAGTTTTCACATTTTTTCCATGAAGTACCAAACAAAAGATCATCTTCTGTCTTTGCTTGTCTCTTGGTCATATTGCACGCTACTCAAGCTTCAGCCGAAGTTGGGGTGAATAATTCCTGATAGAGATATATTATGTTTCTTTGATTTAAACACGAAGACTAATATCTAATGACTCTAGGCAGCTTGGTGCGCTACGACCGGTCTAATACAAAGTCGGACAAATTTGAGTTTTGATCTTGCACAAACTTCTTGTGCGATCTTCAGCGTAACTATAGTCCAGTAAGTAAGGCAGCTCGTAAGTACTTCTGATGCGGTATGAATCTCGAACTTAATATCTCCTTTGCCACTCTTTCTTTGTCGAAACAGGATTCATTATTGTAGCCTGATCTATTTCATGATCAAAAGACGCGCATGTTGGCTTGTAGTAGCTACAATTCTTACGATGTTGATGCTACTTATCTCAATCGGCACAATCATCCTTCTGAGCATCGCTAAATCCGGCTTCAATCCAGCAAATGCAATCAAATCTAAAACTGCAACAATTCGAATCTTTTCTCTCATGTCTATGCTTTCTTATCTCGGTGGGAACGTAGTCTTTGATGGGATTATTTGTTTTATGATTTCTTTCAATTTAATTCGATCTGGATGTCTCAATTTGGGTACGAGGATGAGAACTGTGGTACGGAACTTACTTCTTCTTACTTTAAGGTACAATCATTCAATCTATTGTTCTGCGAAAGTGAGGATTTACTCTCTTATCAATTTTTGGTCAGGACTTTCTTGCTTACTACCGTACTGATGGCTGGCTTGGCAGTGATGACCCTATGTGAGTCTGCACTCATGTGGTTCATATGATCATATTGGAGAAACTTACTGATAATGATCTATGTGAATTTTTCACCTCCGGGGCGAAAAAAGCTGCAACACTTCCTCGGAATCCTAATCCACAATTAGCAAAAGGAATCCCCATAATGTGGATGTCTTTCACCAGTCTTTTAAGTCGAGTTTATATTCTTTCATTCTGTGAGTCCTTGATATATCTCAACAATTCAAAGTTCATTCATCATACGAAAAGCTAAAAACAAGTCTCTTTGAAATATAAAGTCTCTAGCTTTGTGGGTAAATCAAATGAAAATGCGAAAAATGCTCCATCACCACAGTTCTTGAATTCTTTCAAGATCGAAACTCATCAATTTACTGAAAGAGATATTCACCGAGTAAGTTTTTGTGTTGCATGTCATCGTGCACACACGACGACTTTTGAAAAATATACACAAGGATTATTGTAGAGCTGGATTTTACACCAGTCCAATCTGTTTTGTTCAAATATGATAAAATGTGTAATCTTGCTCAATTTTTAGCTACACCTCACAAGAAGGGGTACAGTCTCAGATGGCTGCTTTATCCTGTGTTTGAGTGCTTGCAGCAATCGCACTTTTTTTCCTTGATCCATTTGGTGCGTGCCAAGTTTTATGGACTTGTGGATTTCATGGATCACAATCTATGTAATCTCAACACTTACCACCCATGCTCATCTCTCACGTTCACGTGTCAGCTGAGCATGTTCGGGATGGCGCCCGCCGTCCGGCCTGGTTTGCGTGATCTGGAAAGTTTTCTTTCTCGCACAAACCAAGCTGGTTGTTAGTATGGTTCTCAAGGTTATGGGGGATCTCTTCGTCTACTTCCCGTCCTGCCGGGTCTCGCGTGGGGCTCGGCAAGGCGAGGATCTCCCCATACCCGCGTGGGACCAGGCTTACAATCTGCATAACGTGTTCTTATTGCTCTATAACAATTGAGTAATCTTGATTCCCCGGGCTATCTAGGTACTCATGACTGGCGGGATTGTCCGTCGCGGGACATCTGGTACCGATACACTCTTGAAGGCTGTTGGAATGGGGGCGAGTTTTCAGATCGTTTTAAGAGTTCTAAAGTCATGTTACAAGTTCTAGTTCTTTCCTGGTTGAGTGGTTGATGTGGTGCGTCTGCTGATCATAAGGTTTGCCCTGTACGCTTCTGTTTATATCGTACAGCGTAGGTTCTAGTGTCTTCTTTCTTTTGGTCAAAGTATAATCAGCCTATACTCAGTAGATTCTGTCTGACTCAATTGCCTGAGGCCGTACTCACCAATCAACGGGTGGCTTGCTTATTCCTCCGATCTATCGCCCAAAGGAGACTTTTCGCCGTTTCCAGCTCCTCCACTTGGTACTCTTTCAGGTAGACGTCGACTGCTGAGGATTTCCAGCGGCCTTGCTTCATTATCCGTTCTCTCTCCCAACCGAGGTTCCATCTTAACGAGGCACCTCCCACTCGAAAAGAGTGTCCTGACCAATCACCCGACTTCACGCCGCTCTTTCCCCAGAGGGATTCTAGGCGATCAATGAACACTTTCTTTGATAGAGGTTTCCTCCCATCTCCTGAACCGTACCCAAATAGTGCGTCATCTTTACTCCACCGGTGGTTCCGTTTGATCATGCGTTCCAGGGCAGCTACTGGGTCTAGTATAGATGGTTGCGAGGATATCCTGACGGTTTGTGGTTCTCCGGGCTTGGCAGTTTTTGCCTTCCACAACGTAAGTACCGCCACTCTACTTTCGTCTCCTCCTTCAAAATCTATATCCGTGATTGTTAACATTCCTTCTGTTCTTGTTTCTCTAGTTAGTTCGCCAATTCTCATCATCCCCCAGAACGCTACGATGGCGGCTGTCGCTACGGCTTCGTCTATGTCTGACTTCCCCGCTAGATCGCATACGAGTCCTATTAGTTCTGCTACCTGGATGGGGTTCTTCTCACCCTTCTGCTTTGCCGTCGGAGTTAGGTTCTCTTGCTCTTCGGCTCGCTCGCATGCCTTTATCAGCGCCTTGATCATCTTTTGATTGAGATCTGGTGGTGTGAGTTTGGTTGCCATCTGCCACGCTGTAAGTCCGTTCAGGTATTTCTCTATCGTTTTAGCTTTGACCGTTCTCCTAGCTGACGAGTCCTTGGCTGCCTTAGATTCACCTGCCCAGACTATGAAACCATATATATCGTTCGCCTGAACTGGTAGCGCGGAGTCCCAATCCTTTCCCTCGCTCTCAATGTACTCTTTAAATTTTGCCACTGCACTCGAGTATCCCTGCTTTGTCGAATCCGCCCAAGCGCCGCTGACCATATGTCTCGCGATCTGGAGGGTTTTCACATCGGCAATCTCGTCTTCGATTCTCGCAAAGCTGGGCCGTTTGTTTTTCATGGCCGTTTTAAAGGGGATGTGGTGCGATGGAGGGTGGTGTGTCGAGGTAGGAGTGTAGCACTGAGCTCGGTCTGTATTCTCTAACTGGGTTCTAAGGTCGTTGGGAGACTTGAGGTATTATGTCTTCCTCCGTGGTTGAGAGAGGTACAGTTGACTCCTTGATAAATTCCTTTAGGTCTTCAGGTATCTCGACTTGTAGTCTGTCCGAATCGTATTTACTTATTCGTATCCCTCTGGATAGATCGTCCGCGTCATTCTTTAAGGATGTAACACGTTTCTCCTCCAGGTCGCAATCCAATTTGACTAGCCTCCTTTGTATCCTTCTCCATTCATTGTTAACTGCGATGTGCTTTGACTTCAGATTACGGACCACTCCTTCCGTCGTGGTATTGTCCGTCAGGAACAGGTACCTCTTACCTCTGACGTCCTCTTTCTCCGCTAGCATTTCGAGGCCGAGTCTGACTGCTATAGTCTCGGCCCAGGCTATATCTCTTTTTACGCCTAGCTGATCTACTTCGTTCCAACCTTCTTTTAGCTTCCACTGAGCCCATCTGTTTCCTATTATTACTCCTATGCCGTGGTTGGTAGCTGTGTCTCCTACCCAGCCGACGTCTATTGACTCTTTCTTTGGGATTAATTTATGGTTTTTGAAATCCTTTAGGACTCTCTTCCATTCCCATAGGTCGTCGTGTACGTTCTTTGGCATGAGTCTCGGAGCTCGCTTTTCTTTCCAGGAGGCCATCCAGTGGTCTAGGCTAGTGTTGAAGCACCGCATCTGGGGTAGCATGTGAGTCACGTGAGATAACCTTCCCCTTAACTTTTCTATCTGTTTAAACGTGTGGGGTTCTGCTCTGTTTAAAGCTTCGTCTACTTGCTCTCTCTGTTCCTTGAGTTTCTCTTCGGGTAGTCTGACTGATTTTTCCCTACCGTTCCAGATGAACCCGATGTATTTCTGTTCGGTGGCAAATTCTGCATATTTTCCTTCGTTTGTTTTCACCCCTAGGATTGCACTTTGGGCTACCACGTCTTTCATCGTTGTTTTGTTATTGTTGTTGACTACCTTAATGAAGAGGTTATCGTCCACCCACCGGAAGACTTTGTCGAAACCGAAATGGGCTTTCATGATATCTTTCCATGTGTCCGCTGGTCCGCCGAAACTACTGCATCCCGCTACTCCCCCGAAGGATACTCGCGTGTCTAGGATCAGCAGGTTGTCGTTTGTTCTCAGCATCAGGTATCGCCATTGGCTCGGGTGAGTTGGGATCTGGCGATATGCCTTTTCCCAGTCAAAGATGCCTAGGAGGAATTCTCCCTCTGTGTTTGCAAAGAAGAACGCTACTTTTGCAAAGTCATCCCAGGTAGTCTTGAATTTGTTCTTATCCACGAAAGAGTTAACTGACGGTAGATCTTCTTTGTATTTCGGAAAGGACAGGTCGTTTATGATTCTCTTTGTACCATCTCCGTTTGTCACTACCCCCATCGGGCTGGATCGAAAGAAGCCTAGTCTGCCTAGCACTTCTTCTTCGGTGAAGGGTCCCCGCATCCTCCCTGCGGTCAGTTCTTTTTGTATCTTTTCTATCATTATTGTATTTGACTCATTCGACTGATCGTGGTTTGCGGGTGAGTAGAAACGCATTCCCTCCAGTACGTGCTCAGGGATTCCCTGGTCAAATCCTGTCTTGAAGCTCTCTATGATCGCTCTATGTTTCTCTAGTAGGTCAAGTTGCCTCAAGATCTCCTCCCATTTTCCGAGGTTCATCTCGCATTCTACGGATGTTGGCCACTCTTTATTTGGTTTCAGTGTCTTTGCGTTTCCTGGTACGTGTTGTATGCTTAGTTTCATTTTACATCGCGCGACACTTTTAGTGATCACTCACGACTCGGCCTTCCTCCTCGTTCATTTTCTGTCCCGCTTCTTGGCTCGAGGACCACTCCCGCTCGGTTCTCAGCAGTCGTCTCTTGCGTTCCTTTGCCTTCCTGGCTTCGGTCTCTTTCTGTCTCTCGCCTACTGTTTTTGGGGGACGTGTTGGTAGAGGATAGTAATCAGTTACGGCAACGTTAACCTCTGCTGGTTCATCTTCGCGGCTCAAGTGGATTCTCATCCTGGCTCCGGTTTCTTGGCTACGCTTACGCGTGCGTGGGTTAGGGAGTACGTTTCATGTAATATACGTCTCTCCTGTTTCTCACTGATCTCGGGCCGGGGGGGCTCATTAACATAGTTCTGTATCCCGCTTTTTAGCAGGTCGTTTCTCATTGCATTCGCTGTCTAGGCTGCACTCCCTTATACCGTACAGTGGTTTGATTTAGCTCTGATAATGCTAGGTAGCGTAGGACAAGCAAATGAATCTTATAATGAGATGGAAGGAAGTCGAGTTTGAGAATTGAAAAGGAAAGGAATAGGGGATCATTGGGTTGGATTTGGTATTGCGTTTTCAATCTAGGAGGAAAGTTGGATAAGGGTTCAGGGGATTGGGGACGGCATATCATATGGTGAAGGAAACTTGCTGCTTACTAGTTATGTTTGCCGCTACCGTTCTGTCTGTTCACGATGGCTAGAGCTCCATTTTGGTTGCTGCCGCTTGGTTTCGCCACGATCGCCAACTGGTTCTGTGGCTCAGCTCCGCTGGTCGATCCGTTGTGTGCATAGTTGTGCTGGTATGTGGAGTGGTATGCAAACGGGTTATAGGTGTTCTGAGGTTGGTAATTGGGAGAGTTTTGATATGTTAGCCCGAATCCCCCGTTCTGGTGGCCGCTGGGGTCTCGATTGGCCTGGAAACCCCCGTTGTGGGAGTGGAAACCTCCGTGATGGTAATTACCATTGTTCCTCCTGTTTTTCTGCCACACTCTCTTCTTGTTGGGGTTGTTATGATCGTTCTCCTGATGTTGGTTGTTTTTATTTTTGTTGTTGCGTCTGGTGCTCGAATTGCTCTTCCAGTTGCTACCTCCGCTCTCTTGGAATTTGCCACTGGAGTCATTTTTCAGTGGGTTTCTGGTGATTGACTGATCAGTTTCGCTCATGGTTCCGGCGTAAGGGTTTTCCTTGTAAGATCTCTCGCCTAGGGCCTCCGCTCTGTCTTTTGCGGCGCGTAAGATATCTTGGTGTAAAATTCCTGCATTGCTCATCTGACGTCTCTTGTCTGTTCCAAGTCTATTTTGCATCACCAACTTTCGGACCTTGATGCAGTATCTTAGAGCGATCATCCAGCACGAGGTCGAGCGTCGTATGTCTACCACTATTGCTTTATGTTTTCTGAACATTTCCGCTGACTTTTTCATGTGGTAGAACTCTTCAACATAACGTATGAATAAATCGATGCTGTCCATCCAATCACCGTAAGTCATCAGGAGTTCGTCTTTTGGAGTCAAACCTGAGTAGGTCGGGATGTCGTCTCCTTCTTGAAGTTCTTTTACTGATTTTATTTTCCTCAGGCCTGCCTTTTCTATATCTCTCTCTATCCAATCCGCGTTGAATACAGTCAGAGGAACATACGCGGTGAGTTTTGTCATCCTCTGGTGGAAGCTGTTCGATAGTTTCAGCAGGTTGTTGTTGGACATCTCTAGATCGTCCACAAAGACCATCCCTTTCTCAGGGTCTGACAGGTCTTCTTCGTCAGATTGGTTGTCGTCTGAACGAGCGTTCTTCCGTTTTTCTAAGGAGGTTCTGTTGGTGTTCCCAGTTTCCGGCGTGACTGCTCTCGCGAGGCGTGTGAGGGCTGGCGAGGTGGCTCTGCTTGGGCGCGTGCCAGCGTCGGCTTTTGTTTTTATCGTCACCGGTTCGGATGGGTTGCTCCTTCTCCTCTCACCCTGGCGTGGTGGGGATCTCTCTACTTCTTCTCGAACGTCGTTGTCTTGGATCAGAGATTCTGTCCTTGGTCAACGACTTCTGTAGTGGTCTAGTTCAGGGCTACGCTCTCGCCTTCTCCCTCTGCTTTGTTCGGGTTCAAAGGGTACTGATCCGTAAGTTGCTCTAAATGCGTGCAGCATCGGTCTTCCTAACGACAGATCTTCGTTATTGAACGCATTTACAATGGTTCTCCACCAGGTGTTACAAATTTCAAGCAAGGTATCTAAACGAGGGATCATTTTCCTTGTTAGTCTTTTTGTCCTTGACTGTTTTACATCTGGGTGTCACTATGGACGGGCATCTCCATGTTTCCGCATCTTCTAATATAGATACTTGGGTTCATTCTGTGGATGGGTTAATCTACTTTCTACGCTTTATTCGTATAGGACGGGCTCTGGGGATGGGCAATTCTACATCCCTTCCTGCTTCGTCTACGTTTACCAGATCGCTCTTTTTGGATGGACTCGTCAACATCATTTGGATCATTTGGTTCTGTAGTCTCGGATGGGCTCTTCTACATCACTTGATTAACGAACATATATGCGTGGGTCGCGGAAATCCAACTCAGTGGTTTTTATTATCATTTCCGGTGGGGATGGACACATCAACATCCCCTTTCCCTTGTTGTTTAGGTTAGAGGTACAACTTTGGGTATTTGAAACTCGGGACTGGTCGCGCGTTTGGGATTGGTCGGAAATTTGTACGGGGGTATAGGATTTATGAGTGGAAGAACGGTGTAGGGGGTAACGGAGACAGGGTCAGGGGATCAGAGTATTGGATGGGGGTAGGTTGGTTTTTGTTTCTTGGATCGTACCTTGATCTGCGTCTCTCGTCGCATTTATCACATTTTCCGTGTTGACATCAATCTCCCCGTCTCCAGGTGATTTGTCCTCTTCGGGGTCATCTATCGGCTCTCTCACAACTCCCCTAGTTATCAGAGGTTTTCCGGACGTTGTTTGCGTTGTTCGGTTTTCTGTTTCTGAGTCAATTCCGCTGATGTTTTTGTCTGGGTCGTTGAAGTCGTTACTTGGGTCGTCTTCCTCCTCGTTGGTGTAGTCAACGTATTCTTGTTCTTTTGCTTCTGTCTCATTTCTGTTCTTCGATCTGTTTCTCGTATTGGGACCGGGTTCGCCATTGTTCATCGCTCTCTCTGCTAATCTTCTCGCTTGAGCAAGTTCTTCGGCTAGTGTTACCATCTCTGCTACGTCTTTTGTGCTTAGTGTTAGCTTTGCGTTAATTGTCGAAAAGTTTGACTTTGAAGGATTATATATCTTGAGAAATGAAATCTGCGAGAAGACTGAGCTCGAGACTTGCGAGTGTTTGAAATTTGAATAGACTTGCGAGACAATGAGGAATTTTCCGATTTCCTCGCGGGGGGGGAGAAGTACTTCTCCTGGACTTTTTCCCCCGCTATAAGCATATGCCTCTAGTCTGTTAAAACCCGCCTCACAGTCATGGAACTCATCTCCAAGTCGTGCCTTTGTTGGCGCCACCAAAGAATAACCCTTACTGAGAGTTTCATTTACCCTCAAAGCCCTCCAAGTGCTCTCATGTGGAAGACTCAACTTGTTCTGTTGTTCAAGCAACCTCATAAGGTTAGAGATTCATTTTGTTATGGTGGTCTTATAGTCTTCTATAACTCATAAAGTTCTCACCAATGTGTTTGTAAATCAAGTATGCATAGCTAACTTGGAATGATCTCTGATCTCAATGGCTTTCTTGCTTTCACAGCTCCAGCCTCTGATTGTTGGAAGAGGGGTGCTGCAGTGACCTCACTCAAATCCTTGAATGCATTTATGACTTACTTTTGGGACCAAAGCACTTAGACCCCTATGTAGAAAGATGTGCTAAGCATAGCTGTGATGGGACAATCTCAGGCAGTCTTACTGCATTACAGTGTGAAGATTTCAAACAATATGGGTTGTGTAAAATGTTGCAAACATGAATCCTGCCAATTTTGGTAATTCAGATTAAGATCAACAAAAATATTTTGAAGTGATTGGGAAAACAGGATCATGAAAACCCCAATTTTACATTCAAGATAGGTGGGGCAATCTTTTCAATCTGAGGTATCATCAGACTCAAATCCTTGAACATGATCTTTCCAAGGATTTTATCCAAGGTATTTTTGAGCACAAAACAATGCCTTGGATCAAACCCTTGCACAAGATCTGTCCAAGGATTTGCATCCAATGATGCCTTGGATTCCACAACCCAAGGTATCTGTTGGTGGTGCTTCATGGGAGATAAGAGGGTATGATAAACCACAATCAAAGGTATCATCAGGTGTTTAAATTCACTCTATCCTTTTGTTGCAAAAAGGATACATTCAGTCTAAGAATCTTATTGGCCAGGGGGGGCTGTATGACTGTCATGTGGATCTCTTCAGAGGCTGTTAGGAAGCTCTATCAAACTTTTTTTGTGTGTTTGTGTTGATGTGCCACAAAGAAGCTTACAGGGTGATCATTGCTGCAACAACTACAAATGCAAACTTCAATGAGTGACTTATTCTTCACTTGCATGTACAACTTTAACCTAGTAATGTTTCCTTCCTTTTGAATTTGATCAATCACAAAGCATGACCCTGAGACCTAGGATGAGTCAATTAATTTTTTCACAATGAGATTTCTCTTTGAAAACATATTTTTGATATAAGAATGTTTGCAAACTCTTGGATAAAGAATTGCAAGGATTTGGCTAATTTCATCAGAAATCAAATCTTGGCTATATGTCTGCATTCCAGCTTGTGGATGTTTAAGGACTAGATAATGTTGACAATTCAAAATGAGAAAAAAGGTAATTCACTGGATATTTCAAAAAACACCATCATTTTGGTCTTTGAGGTCAGACTTTGGAACACAAAACAAAGCAACTAGGGCATTAGGAAATTCAGGAATGTACCATTGCTAATGACAGAAAAAAACCCTAAACCAGATATTGAACACCCAGGTTAGAAAAGTGGAGATGAAAGCAAGTGTTGGCAACTGTTTACAGCTCACCTCTCAATGGAACTACTGGACCTCAATTGCATGCAACATCATACCATCTAAACCTGCAAAATCAAAGCCACCAAGACCAAAGAACTCTATTTCAACCACAGGCAACATCATTACAAAGGATAAACCAACCCTGCTTCTCAATTGGGTGTTTATTCCATAAAATTTGTTCCATATAAACCTCCGTACATTACACAAATGGTGTCCTTAACAGATCTCTTGTTGAAGACCGACATTTTAAGCTGAGTAAATATCAATTCAATGCTCTTGCCACTCTTTTTGAAGGTCATCAAAGATAAAAAGAAGATTTAGACCAAAAAAATCTATCAAAATTCTTGCAAGCACTCAGCCTCCTTACCTTTGGCCACCATTCCATAAAAGAATCACAAGCTACCAAATGGTAGGAAATTGGCTAAGAACAATAATACCAGCACTAAATAAAACAGCTATTCTGCCACTTACATACACCAACCAGATTGGTGATCTTGACTGGCATAATTCACACTGTAAAATTCAAAGGAAAGCTCTTGATTATTTCACCACCACCATGCCTCAACTCTCTCCAAGACAACCACATCTTAGGCTCAGCCAATGCATCAAAAACTAAGAAAATATTTGCACTAATCCTCCCATTGCCATGCACAAAACTCAACAAGTGCAAGCAGTCAAAAATCCTGAGATCAAGGCTATTCTTGAAAGATGGGTTGATAAAGCACTTGTAGAAAAGGTTTTTCTGGCTGGTAAAGTTATTAAATCTAAATGGGAAGACTTTGCCCAAGCAAAGTCAATCCCATAAGCCCAATGGCTTGCAATGAGCAAAGGTTGGTTACCACCATTGAAGGATTGTCAAAGCCTACATCTTGTCAAAAAACACTCAGAAGCAGGATCTGTTGACTCTGTCTGACTCACAGTGGGAGAGGAGATTGTGCAAGTCACAGCAATCAAAAACAAGTACAAACCATATGACATTTATAACATGGACAAAACCGGGCTGTTTTATGGATGAATCTCTCCTCTTTTCTCCTCTTTAATGATTTGTAATTAGACTCAATGTTTATCAATCTCTGAATGTTCAGTATGCCTCCGGATTTTATGTATCCTAACCAAAGAATATGAACCTGGCGTAAAGGGTGTCAAAGCTCACTTGACAATTGTTGTTGTGACAAATGCTGATTGATCCAACAAGTGCCACCTGACATTCATTGGAAAGCATCAACATCCTCAACCGTTCAAGCAAAAAGATGGCTGTGAGGCACACAGTATTGATTATTATTGGAACCAGCCTGCTTGAATGACAACAAAATATTTGAAGAATGGATCACCACATGGGACAAGGGATCTGCTCCTGAGAGCGGGTCGTTCCTTGGGAATGCAATTCCAAAGAACTTTGGGTGGAGGGCCAGTGCTGGCTGCCATAATGTAGACTGGGACTCCACAATTATTGTTGATGTTGCCTTTTCCGGTGCCATGCAAGGTACGACCAGCGTCGAAATCCATCCCAATGGTGAATTGCGCCATTGCTGAGAAATTGCCAAGCTGCTAGAGGTAAGACAAAAACAGTTTCATAGCTTTTCAAAGATGGTTAATATGAACGCTAAACAAGATTTTTAGACTCAAAACTTTCTAATAATCAAAAGGCCAAGAAATTATGTTACATCGTTTGCCGTGGCTAGCCGCTACTACATCCCTTTGGCACCTGTAACTGATTCTCGTATCTAGAAGCTTCCTCCTAGTGCCTATGGTTTACAGATATCATTTCTTACTTCATGATTATTTATCATGAGGTGTACTATTACGCAGAAGTTTCACGGCATGACTGAGTTTCAATCCGTTTCATGTTTTTCCTTGTTTTCCCCCAGACATTCAATCGGAGCGCTACAAGCGCTGCCAGCAAGCTTCTTTTGATTTAATTTTCAGACCGGTATCGATCAAGACCCGAAACCCTTGAACTCACTCAGCTCTCAAATTTTTGAGGAGCCGAGGGCTAATTGGGACCCTCGCATCGACGGCATCCTCCAAGTAGCTTTTAAGAAACATTGGACCATTGTTCTCTCCAATTTGAGAATTTTTAATTATCCAGTACGGCTCCCTTCTGAAAGCAAAAGAGGCTCAATGGCGGCGACTATACGAGGTCTCGCTTTGAATGTCATCGTTCGAGGGGTTTTCAGTGAATCAGATATGATCCCGAAGTGATGACTTCAATTAATGGTCTTCCGCCGGAATGATAACATGAATCAAGACTAGCTGGTCTACGGACTTGATTTCGTCAATTTCCTAAGACTCGCACAGTCACAAAAATATCAACCTTGATGAACTGTGTTATGTGGCAAAAGTCTTCCAACATCGTCTTAGGAGTCGCAATTGCTCGGACTATGATCATCAAATTCTTCAAACTTTTTCATTATCCATCGGAATCCTCATCTAAAAACATGGGATTTCCTTCACTCATATAGTCTCTTTGGGTTATTGATATTATAAAGATTCTATCAAAGATTTTCTTCACCAGTTTTTGACCTGCGAAACCTATGTCATCCTCAATCATCCTTGCAATCACCGTCACCGCAGTAAGAATTACTCCAACTCTTTGAATTATAATCAGTTTCTGCCTCTGCAGGTTTTGAATGAAGATGAAGTCTTTCAAATAACTAACGTGTCTCCCGAATCTTTTTCTCTTACTATGGAACATGAACATCACTCTAGCCCGTTTTTCTCTTAATTAGTGGATACATTTTGACAAAGTTTTCACATTTTTTCCATGAAGTACCAGATAAAAGATCATCTTCTGTCTTTGCCTGTCTCTTGGTGATCTTACACGCTACTCAAGCTTCAGCCGAAATTGGGGTAATTTTTTCATGGAGATATATTATGTTTATTTCATTTAAACACAAAGACTAACATATAATGACTCTAGACAGCTTGGTGCGCTACGACTGGTGTGATAGAAATTCGGACAAATTTAGGTCTTGATCTTGCACAAACATCTTCTGCAATCTTCAGCATAATTTTAGTCCAGTAAGTAAGACAGCCCATAGGTGCTTCTGATGAGGTATAATTCTCCTACTAAATGTTCTCTTGGCCACTGTTTTCTTCGAATCAGGATTCATTATTGTAGCCTAGTCTATTTCATGGTCAAAAGACGCGCACGTTGGCTTGTAGTAGCGACTTTTTTTACAATCTTGATTTTACTCATGTCAATTGGTACAATCATCCTTCTGATCATCGCCAAATCAGGCTTCAATCCAGCAAATGCAATCAAATCTAAAAACCCAGGAATTCGAATTTTTGCTCTCGTGTCTATTATTTCTTCTCTCGGTGGGAACGTGGTCTTTGATGCGACTATTTGTTTTATGATTTCTTTCAATTTAATTCGATCTGGATGTCTCAATTTGGGAACAAGGATGAGAACTGTGGTATGGAATTTACTTCTTCTTACTTTAAGGTACAATCATTCAGTTTATCGTTCTGTAAAAGTGAAGATTCACTCTTTGATCAATTTTTTGTCAGGACTTTCTTGCTTACTACCGTACTGATGGCTGGCTTGGTAGTGGTGACCCTATGTGAGTCTGCACTCATGTGGTCCATCTAATCATTTTTGGAAAACTTACTGATGACGATCTACAGTTGTTCAAGGCTAGTCTCAACCACAGCTTTATCCGCCCCGGCCCCGGGGCCCGCTCCGGTCCGAAAAGTTGGCTGTTGGAATCCCAATTTTATAGCCGGCTTTATTGTCAACATTGCGGGTAGTTTACCCTCAAGATCATCCAACACACACACTTGCTGGTAAAACTAAGGGTGTCCGATGCATTCTGCAGGAACGAGGCTTATGAGGACCCCGGTATGCTCTTATAAGGGGTACAGATCCAAAAATGTGACTTTTGAGCTCGCTCGGAAACTTGTCCCTGGCTTTACCCATAGCTTTAAGACAGGTTTAGTCTTTTTAATCAGCTGTATTGGACTTAGTGACTCTAAAATTCAGGCAGAAACAGGTAAAATCCAAGAGAATGCTGTTTAATCCCATATGCCGTATCTCCGCGCGAGCTCAAAAGTCACAATTCTAGATCTGTACCCTTCATAGGAGCATACCGGGGTCCTGGCTTATGGGAATTATATGTAACAAAAGCTAAAGAGGCAGGTAAAAATCCTGTCTTCCGTTGTGCTTCTTGTCAGTTATCCGAAACAAAACGCGATCAAGCTGCTTGTGAGGCTCAAATCCGACGTGAAAAGGAAGCACAAGAGGCCTTTGAACGGAACAAAGAATTTGGCAATCAGGCCTTCAAAGATACTGATGACCCAATGTGCTGTGCAGCTAAGATTTTAAGCTTACAGTCCGACTTTGCGAATGAGAAGCCCTTGCTTCAAAAAGTAATCGAAGAAGCTGGTCATATTTGTATATTTCTCCCGAAGTTTCATTGTGAACTTAACCCAATAGAACTCTATTGGGCGTTTATCAAACATTGTAAGTTACAATTCAATCATAATAATCTAAATTCCCTCTTTTTTCTACTTCATTTGGTCTTACAACCGTTCCTAACTGTTCCCTTTTGTTCAATCGTTCCAATTTTTTAATCGTTCCCCTTTTTTAATTGCTCCCTTTTTTAATCGTTCGCTTCCAATCCATTCTTTTTCTTTGATTGATTCTCCTTTTGATCAATCCCTCTCTTTTGATCTTCTCTTCCTCATCAATCACTTCCTTTTGATTGATCGCTTTTGATCACTCCTTTTTTTAAATCACAAATGGACCTCTCACATTTACTGATAATCTCTTGACTTGAAGATTATCAAAAATACAGCATACATTGCAAGTCCTTCAGTGATTGTAAGGCTCTCTTTGAGACGGTACGGAAGATTTGTCCGGTCTCAACCATTCGAAAGTATTTCCGTAAGATTGACCGTCAAACGGAGATCTATTGGTGAGTGCAGACTTTTGTTTTTGTATCTTTGTACCAATACTGACTTGATGGTCTCATAAAGACAAGGCTTCACTGGTGCCCAAGCAGAACAATTGGCCAAAGAAAAAATTGATCGCTCACATAGAACCATCTCCTGCCAGGCTGGAGTGACAATCGATTGTCAACTTAACCTTCAGGACATGTTTCCCACTCTTTGATCACTCATCTTTTTTGAAGATCAATAAGATCTTCTTTCTTTATTTGTTTATCATTATGGATTCAGCGGAATGAATCAATTTTTGAGTGCTGCTCTGTGCTGCCGTACTTATACAAGGGCCTAATTAAGCTACCCTAAGCCCCTAGGTACCTGATTAAGTACTTAACTAAGCTGGCTTAGGGTCTTAAGTACCCCAGGTCCGAAATGTGAGGTGTCAAAAAAAAATTAAAAAAATCCACCCACCCAATTGGCTCAACAAGTCATTTACAGCTTAAGGAACCTTTCAACCCCCCAAAAATGACTTATTACATGTCATGCATTAGTAGGGGTTAGAGGAGTTGTGTTGTGTAATTGAATTTCGTTTTTGCGGAGCAGCTGTGGTCGAGACTAGCCTTGAACAACTGTATGCGAATTTTCTACCTCCGGGGCGAAAAAAGCTGCAATTCACGCTCACACCCGATGCCCCGATGCCTCGTGGCGCCACGGCAGGGCTCAGGGCAAGGGCCGGGGCCTCGGCCTCGGCCATGCCCTGGCCCTTCTGTGTGATTTCGTGTTCTCTGTGCTTCAATGAGGGCGAGTTGGATTCGTTCCGTCTTTGCGGCAAATATCATGAAGGATGGTGGCATTATAACGTGTATAAATTGTTGAATTGTGCCATGTTTTTAAGGCCATGCGTGGCATAGGCCATGGCCCTGGCCACGCCCTGGGCCACGAAAAAGTCACCGGGTGTGAGCGTGAGCTGCAATACTTCCTCGGAATCCTAATGCACAATTAGCAAAAGGTGTCCCATTAATGTGGATGTACTTAACTAGTTTTCTAAGTCGAGTATATATTCTTTCATTTTGTGAGTCCTTGATATATCTCAACAATTAAAAGTTCATTCATCATACAAAACATGAACACAAATCTCTTTGGAATATGAAGTCTCCAGCTTTGTAGGTAAATCAGATCAAAATGTGAAAAACGCTCCATCGCCACAGTTCTTGAATTCTTTCAAGATCAAAACTTTGCAATCTACTGAAAGTAGTGGTGCAACAACTACAGATGTAAGCTTCAGAGGACTGACTTATTCTTTTATGTACAGCTTTAACCTAGTAATGTTTTCTTCCTTTTGAATTTTATCAATCATAAAGCATGACCCTCAAGGATCCAGGATTAGTCATTTACCTTGTTCACAATAAGACTTCTATTTGAAAAAATATTTATCATATAATAATATCTGGAAACTTTGATACAGAATTGTAACAATTTGGCTAATTTCATCAGAGATGAAATCTTTGCTATTATAAGTTTGATTTCAAGCTTATGGATGCTTGAGGATTGGATGATATTAACATGTCAACTTTTGAAAAAAGGCAACTCACTTAATATTTCAAAAGACACAGTCACTTTGGTCTTTCATGTCAGAATTTTGGACACAAAACAAAGCAGCTAGGGTATCAGATTTCAAGAAAGTACCACTGCTAATGACAAACAAAATATAAGACTAGTCATATTGACCACTCAGTTTAGAACAGTGGAGATGGAAAATGTCAGCCTGAGACTTAAAACAGGTGGCTTTAAGAGAATCGAAGCTGAATGATATTGCTTGAAGCTTCTTTATTGGCTTTGTTACAGTAGGTTTACTGAGATAAATTCGAGCCTTTATATAACAGGAGCTGGCGACTCCATGTTGTCTTAGGTGCGGAATGGCTACCGCTGCCTGATACTCACTGAAAGGTCTGTTCCGATCAGGGTCTTCTGAGGTAGGTACAAAAGTACTCCTGTCTCAGGTATTAGTAGTCTAGTTTCTATGAATTAATAAAGAGACGTCTTTATTAATAACAATCTTCAAAACATCTTGGACGATGGAAGTTATGTCTAGTTTCTACATATTGATAAAGAGATGTCTTTATCAATAACGATCTTCGAAAACGTCTTGGACATTGAAAGGTTATTCTAATATTAAGAACGCTGAGTCTTAGTTTGATAACATACTTCTTGAGAAAGAAATAATCAATAACAATACTAAATGTTAAAATTCAGATAAGAAAGATGATATCAAAGAATTGAGATGATCTAAATTAAAAGTAATCGCCGGTTTTTAGTATAAGTCATAGAGTTTAATTTCTCAAGGATAAGTTGGTTGGTTTGTAATAAGATGATTCTCCTTCTCGAGAGGGGGAACATCACGGGTTATATATCATTCTGCACGTGTCCTTGTAATCTGGCACATCAGGGTTTTCTGTGAGCTAAGGGTCTTGTTGCAACCAACAAGATATGTTGCTTGTTTCTGATACTGTAGCCACATCCTTGGAATGTAACTAGGATCTGTTAGATATATATATATCCTTTGAGATAAGGGTCTCCTGGAGTTCGAGTTTGAAATCCTCAGTTCCTTCAAACTAATTTATATGACATCACCTCCAGTTGACCATTAACATAAGTTGTAATTCAGAGTCCTCTTGGGTGTTCTTTATGGCTGCTAATGGGAGTATTAGCAAAATACTCCTCATGGCTGACAGAAAAAAAGGATTAGCAACACATGAGAAGTGAAAAAATATGCAAAACTGCATGGTAAACATCATTCAGTTTCCCCAATTGGGAAGGGGAAATTGATTCGGAGTATAATTTGTAATAAAAGGATCCATCACTTTACATCTGAGCCATAACACACACACTACATATGTGCAGAAGGCTTAGTTGATAGTTGCCTATCATGTACATACAGGTCTGCTCAGCTGTCTGCACATCTGACCAGATAAATCACATGTGATACATCATGTAACTTTTTGGCCATTGACAAAATTGTCCTAACAATCCACTACATATATCATCAAGGCTACTCAGGCAACATTCTGGTAGTCATTTGTAAATGGTGTTAGATGAAGTTGAGTTGACAAACTTACAGCAAAAATATGAGTCAGTGTATGTAGTCAATTTGTGCAATGATTTTGTCAAGCTGGAAAAGAGTTACAGCATGTATTACATATGATTCACTCATCCAGATGGGGACATAACTGAGAAAACCTGTATGTACATGGTAGCCGCCTATTCACTCAGGCTACTGCACATATATAGTGTGAGTGTCATGGCTCAGGTGTGCAGTGTTAGATCCTCTGATGACAAATTATACTCCTAATCTGTTTCCCCCTCTCACTTGGGGAA